GGGTGGTCCTGCATCAAGTTCAGGGCAGCTTCAGGTGCTCAACACTGGACATGCAAGCAAGGGCTGCCAGCCTGGAAAGGGCTCCCGTCCAAACATCTGTGGCCTCTCATTTTGACACCTGCAGGCAAGCGCGAATTAATCAGACTCTTTGGTCACAGGAGCCTTGACTGCGCAATTGCCACGGTCACAGCACAATTCCCACGGGTAAAGAACTCTCAGGACCCAACTCCCAAGGCGATAAGGGCGTCTGAGGCCACACATGCGGCTCTGCGACCTGCAGAGTTGCTTCTGCTTCTGCTAGGCCCGCATCTGCAGGAGGGGCTGACCTTGCTTTATGTCGAATCCCATGACTGCGCCGGGATTTTTGAATTGCGGAAGCTCAAACGAAATTACTCAGCATCCTCAGGTCAATTAATTTTCCGGAATGGCACAGCAGGCTTAATTAATCTAGAAGCCTTGAACATTGTGGTGGATAGATGCTTGAAGTAAATGGCCATGTGGCTTGGGTCACTCCTGCTGTGGTACTGCACTGTCATAGCGAGCCCGGATTCATCAAGATTGCAGAATTTCAACAAAAAAGTGACAAGCAATGAAGCGCCAAGCTTTCCACCCGAAGAACCCACATGCCCGGAACAGTTGCAGCCTCACCGTCGCCGCCATCGATGCAAAGGTCCGCGCAGGTGCAACGGTCCTTCAGCCACACGACATATGGCAGCACTGGATGGTTTCAAATGATGCTTGTCCTTGAGGGTGGCCATCTTATCAGGCCTCAAGCAGAACCAACAATCAATCGCGCACACAGGCGCCACACACGACTCCGTCGGCATTTCATGCCAGAGCTGTTGCTGCTGAGCCGAAGGGTTCTGTGGGAGGCCCTGCTGGTGAAGCCCAAAACCTGAGAGCCTCAGCTGCAGCCAGGCGACTTTCTGGGAAGACCCTCGAAAAATGTGCAGCGGCTCTTCGCAAACAGCTTTGAGCAACGCGCTGCGGTGGACACTGCCTTCCTCTCACCACGACGACCGTAATCGCGGGAATCATGCAAACACTGATTGTGGCAGGATGTCAACAGTCAACAGTTTCCCCATGGCGTACTCAGCCATACATTAAAGCCATGCGCGTCATCTGTCACAGACATTGACTGACAAGCACCATCGTGATGCCAATGCCCCTCATCGGATCACTTGGTGCAGTTTCCAAGGCCACTGCGCACCAAGAGCTGGACCTTGTAGCGAAATGATGTTCAAGGCGCTGTACCCATCTCATAAGCTTTTGGGGCTGTGAGGAGAGCCATCTCCATCAAAATCAGCATGAGGGAGCTCGACGTGAAGCTGCAGAAGGTCTGCTCAAGAAGGGTGTAAAATGTGTAAACAAAGTGCAGCTGTGCGGCCACAAATTTGTTGACAACAGGGCTGTTCCAAGTCTCAGAGAGGACAGTGTGAAGTGGTCCAGGGATCGGATGCTTGGCCTCATGGCAGAAAAGAACAGCCTTTGGAAGACAGTGCTAGCTGCAGCAAGAGTCTGCTGCAGACATTCTGTGACCCCTGTGTCCCAGGTGAATCGAGTTGCAAGATAATATGCTGATATTGGACTGGCGGACATTGAGAGGCATCCAGGTGCGCGTCCAAAAATGGCAGGTAATGAAGCGCTCACGCTTTGGCTCTCTGGCCAAGATGCTTGCAAACATGTTTCCGGGATTCCAGGATTCGGCAGTGCAGAAGAAATCGAAAAGCAAAGTATGAGGGATATGGCGCATCCTGGATACGGTATGCAGCAAGAAAGCCCCCCAACCCTCCCATCCCACAACGGCACAGAGCGATGCTGCCTCTCCTTGCTTCAAAGTAGCGCCCAAGTGCAGGAGCACCTTTTCCAGTCTCAGATAAGGCGCGAAGCATAAGACTTCATGCGAAACGTTTTTTACTCCCTCTCCGGTCTGCAGGAAGTTGGGATAACGCAGTACAACTCTCGACTCTAAAAGGGCCTTGATGATTCTGACTGGATTATAAACATGAATCATTTAGTCATATTGCGCCAAGTCTGCATCGTCAACGCTTGCAATCGACTCGAACTGCTTTGCAAGATTCGCCCGAAAAGTTTTTTTTCGGCTGAAATAGCTCCTGTTGCCAAGCCCCATCCTGACCCTTGATCTGCGCCTTCTCTCTGCAAATGCAGCGCCGCATTCATGGCCACCGTTGTATTCTGGAAGCTGATTTGGGGTGCATTGGCTGGTTCTTGTTAACTAAGCCCAGGGCATGTAATACTTGAGCAAACTGCTGTGCTTCTTCGATTCAATTCTGGTCAACGTCATCACAAGAATCTTGTCAGAAGAAATGTCTTGCTAAACTGTAGTCTCTTAAAGCTATTTACATGCATGCAAAGTAGCTTTGAGCACGGCCACCCTAAAATGTGGTCCAGAACACCTAAAAGCTGGGTTGGGCATCACAAGGACACTCTGTCATTGTGGGGTCTCGCCGCACAGGTAAAACTGCGAGGTTTGGCACTGGAGACACGCTTCACTGGGTTACTGTCAAGGAACTTGAATTGAGTTACCATAATGGGGGTACATAATATATATATATTATAGCGTAAATAATAGGATCTTCCCCAAGATAATGACTTAAATTAAGTTCCTTATCTGCAGTCGTTCAGGGGCGGGCACTGCGGGGACTCTCCGTGGCCGGGCCCTGTAGGGAACACGCTGTCTTTGAGCACTGAGGGGTAGTGGCGAGGATCGCAGCTTTTCTTGCAATTCAAGAACCACAGCATTGCGCTTGCCTTCTTATTTGCACAGATCGAATGTGTCGCGCGCACGTTTATAATCTCAGCCCCAATACCCAAAAATGCCCTAAAACTCAAATGCAAGCCTCCTTCCCGTTTGCGCGCCGACATGTTATGACCGATCCATTCTCAACGACCTTTCATGTTTCACCTCTCTCCGACAATGATTGAAGAGATCGATACCCACTTTATCATCTGCAGTTCTGTTCCACATATATATATAACCAGTACAAACCAATCATGAATATGAGGATCCCATTGTCATATTCATCAATGTCTTCCCGATCTCAATGGAGCGAGGATTTCCCATGTCAGGGGTGTTGCCAGGCAACGCGTATTCAATCCTGTCTGTAGTTCTAAACACAACTAATCTTGTCGGATAACTCTGCAGGAGCATGCTCGATTTTGCTACTGAAGCGAGCAGCATTTCGAGTTTTTCTGGGCCGATGCCGCCTGCAATGACAAAACGCATGTTGCAGAAGCTTCCCGAGACATTTTGCGGTTAGTCGCATCGATTTGTGCATGCATAGGGAGGCGGCCAGACTCTCCAAATCCGAAAGACGCGCTCGAAACTCCTGGATCAATTGCTAGGCGAATGTGTACCAAAATTGACTCAGATAGCGCAAAATCCACATCTCCTCATTTTCTGTCTGTGCGGTCTCTTGCCGCTGCTGAAGGAAGGCCTGTCAAGGGAAACAATACACTGAAGCACAGCATAGAGTCGGCATAGAGGTACTCGTTCACAGGGGGGGAGACCTGTATGGTGAAGTTCCAAAGTTACTTGCCCAAGCGTTTCATGTTGTTGCGAAGAGACTGACATTGATAGGACAGGGATTCGAAGGCGATCAAATTCGGAGAACAAGGCTTTCATAAGCTAAGGGGCTTCAAGCACTGGATGGGTGGGGAAGACGTTGTCAGCTGGGGCACAGGTTTGTCCGCTGGCCAAATAAGGCCCCTCTGCTCCGCTCGCTCTCCAAGGTAAATCAATCAACAGAATGCAACTTTGCAGACCACGGCTTACAGCATTTAGACCATTGCTTGTCTACACCCACCATGAGCATGTTCGCTAAAACACTTTAGTTTTCGGCTTACTGTACTGAAGTCATGCTTTGAGACAGCAGGACGGCAACTTTGAGCCGTTACAAGACGCATGATGCGGAACCTCACGGCTTTCGGCTGCTGAAAGAGCCTCCTGAAGCGGACCAGCTCAGCTCAGGCAGCAGTCAGGAAAGGCACTGACTGCGAATGCATGAGTGCAGAGTGGCTTGAATCGGCACATCTGCCAAATGACTTTGAACTTTGCCACCTTCCAAATGGCAAGTCTGACTGGAGATTCCGAACATAACTCTTCCGTGTTACGATGTACCAATCGCCTTAGCTAATGGTCCCCAAGCTTTTGTGAATCATTACGAATCGTTGCGAATGGTATCGAATCTAGCTGGTATCTACATTCCTCAGGTTGATGCTGCTGTTCTATGGATTCCGCAACATCATGCGTCCAGTCCTGCAGCTGCTGCAGCTCCAGCCGGTGTCTAAGGTCAACTTCATGCTGTTGCTGGCAGGCATGCGTCTCCTGCCGACTGTATGAATTTGCACCTGTGCTTTCGGTTGCAAAAATGATGACATACCGGCCCGGCCTCCTGTTGCATTGAAAGCCTCTGAGCGAGGAAAACTTCCAGCAAAGCTAAGGCTTTTTCACTGTACCGTCTCTGGGAACAAGCTCAGGCCGTGACACCTGCTCCTCCAATTCCTTGCCTCAAGACTCAACTCAGACTTGTGTCAAGGCAAGGCGTAAGGAAGGTTCGCATGTCAGGGATCCCTGCAATTCTTTGAAGTTTCTTCTGCAAGGGCTTGTGCCTGGCACAATGCCGGAGCTTCTAAGAGGGATTCAGCAGGCCGTGAAAATTCAATTCGTGCAATTCAATTCGGCAGTTGCAGGCGCTGAGGCAGCCTGCAGAAGCTCTTCCCTGGTTCTGTCCCTGGCTTCTTTGTACCGCTGCGCTGCGGTAGCCTTCAGGAAAGTGTTGGCAAACTTGGAATACAGCATCGCAAAAATGCCGATGCACGGAGTCTTGGTGTCACGTTCCTCCTCATCCAGGTCCTTCTGACAGCTGCGCAGCTGCGTTTCCAGCCGCGCATTTGAAGCAGAAGCCTGCCAGGCAGACTACAGATGAGCGACAGTCAATATTTTCCATAATTTGATGGACATGGATTCCTTGCCAGGGACTATGTCAGGGCTTATTCTACGACACTACAAGAGAGACCCCTGTATCGGCTGGTAGGGTCCCTTAATCGTCAAAAAATGATAATAGCTTATGAGCATTTGCCGATTTCCTAACAAGAAGAGCAGCCCCACCTGCTCAAGCTTAGATCGCAGCAAAGCCGACTGCTGTTCACAATTGGCTCGAAGCTGCATTTCGCCCTGACAGCATGCATATCGACTCATTTACAACAACCAGCAGGCAATCCCAAATCGACAAAATGCTCTTGGCAAGCCTGCGCAGAAGTCCTCAGCTGCGCAGCCTCTGTAGTCCATGCCTGCAGCCGGGCCTGGCGCCAGAGCTATGCAGAATCAACCTCCTGGCTGTCAGGCGCGAGAAATCCACCAGGATCCCACAACAGCGAATATTCCACTGATTCACATCTTCAAGCTGTCAGGCCATTGTGTGATCGAGCCCTGTGTAAATACCTGTACGAGTGCCAGCGCTAGGCTCAGTGGATCCAACTGAGTCGCAGGATACTGACACATTCGTTCAACAAGGAAAGTTCTCACAAGCGCCCGAACTCTCTGCTTGGTTTTACTTGCGCCGGCGTTATCACCTACTGCCGTCAGTAAATGGTAATCTGGTGCAAACCGACGGAAGGGTGGATTTCCCCGTTCTGCTGCGGACGCTGGGGTTTGAGAAGAAAATCACAAGATTTTATGCCTTCGATCTTGTAGGATTCCCCATGTAGACGCTGGTTTTACACATGCCCCGACATGGAATGATGAGATACTGACATTTCCTGGTGAATGCGTTGTGGACCAAACAGCCCGCCCGAGGCGGTTTTCGATACTAAACGATTGAGCCATGGCACATAAACCATCAACGCAAGAAAAGGTGGCCTTCCTTGAGTTGCAAAGAACTGCGTGGATGTGACTATGTTTCATATCTAGTATTTCCAGGAGTGAGACACAGCATGCAACATACGCGATACCATACAAATGCCATACAGACATGACGCATCATGAGCTGAAACCCTGTGAACGGTGACCGCTGTAGAAACAGCACAATTGCAAGAATAGCTTTGGCATAACATCTATTCTAGTAGACGCTTTTGAACTGGGTTCCCCAGTGTGGACGCTGCTCGATGGGTACAAGAACCCAGCCGATGTGAGATAATGGGACAAAGAGCACTTGTTACGATCACCAGGCTTGCAAAGCCTCTGCTGCCAGCAGCTCCTCATTCAAAGAACTGTTCAACGGGTCTTCTTGCAAGTAACAGTATGTCCCATGGCTGTGAACATGTTTTTCTTGCACAGTGCACTTAAATGCAAAGGAGCAAGTTCCCATCACAACTATTTTGCTCCTCGTCCTTTGTCTGGACCGTTGCCAGATTTGCCGAGAGCTGATCCTCTGGGACTGCACGAATTCTAGCCTAGCCGCCTATCAATGAAGATGAAGAAGTTTGGGCGGCACAACCTGCAGCCTGCTGAGGTCGGCATCTCGTGCGACCTCCCGTGAACATGTGAAGACAGTGATGACTAGCATAAGCCAAGTGGCACCTGCATTTGCCGCAGCTTGGCCTTCATTGCTTCCTGCACACTTCCAGCATTGAGAGGCTTCCGACTCCACTACACATGTCCGCCATGTAGAATACACAGCTCTGTGAAACTGCATGGTAGTTGGTCCTCCAACGGTCCTCTGCTAGGCGCCATCGCTGTGTTACAACAAGAACACTCACCTGTGAGCGCCTGGGCCTAGTATGCAGCGGTGCTTGCATACTTGCAGCTGAGCTTTCGTTCAATCTAAAGCCCGGCAAGATGCATATGGTTGCCTTTGAAAAGCCTTTTTTGACGGAAGTCATGCGCCTCACCTGGCCAATGCCTGGAAAAGAATGGAGGTATCCTTTGGCGGCCTCACTACGCTCAGCATCACGTAAGAAATTCTGATCTGCTCTACGCGTCAAGCCGGGGCTTGGACGGTGGCAGCGGGTGCGGACGCATTTGACCTATAATCACACTATTCCGACGGCTTGCTAAAGTCAATCAGGGTTTGAAGGCTCAATTCTGCTTTTGGAGTCAAAGAGAGCTTTGAGTCAAACATCGGTGCAAAAACGTTTCAAGACTCCTTTTGGGCCTGGAACCTATCCGCAATGGTTGCTCGGCAACAACACGAGCTCCGGAAGAGAGAATGGAAGCGAGGCAGCTGGCTGACTCTTGATTTCAATTCTGGAACACATCTTGTCTGAATCCGTCCTTCGCAAAAAATGAATCAAGCACGAGCCCCGTGACTAAGGGTCAGACTGTCGGCTTTCGCTGGAAAAAGAGACGCCCATCCCTTGGGAGCGAAATTCTGATCAAGCCTTGGCTGACAGCGTCATGCCTCCTAGTCAAGAAAGAGAATCTGGACTGATATGCCAACTGGTCTGAGCTTCTTGCAGTTGTCCACGGATGCGGCTAGCAAAGTCCGGCTGCAGCCTCGATCAGTTTGCTGGTGCATGCCTACTCCATAAGCATCCACAGGCACAGACTGCTCTAAGTAGGAAAGTGGTGGACTTCTCAGTGAGTGCCAGGCCATTTTTCGTCTGCATCCTTCCTGTACATCTGACTCTGATTCAAAGGTAGCGACAGACCGCTTCCATAATCTGGCCTCCCATGCTTCGTTTGGAGGATGCTAGCAACACCTGGTGATGGACCGACTCCCCGGACCCGCGAAGAGCCATCATGAAGTAAGGATCAGACGGAGGTAGCAAAGAAGGTACGCCACCTGGTTTGATCCCTGGGCAAGATGTAGTCCAGCATCACCACCAAGCGGAGTGAAGGCCGGGTCTGCAGTGACCACAGAATAGCGCTGCCACCTTGGGCTCCATGTCTGATGTGTCAGCCGTTCACGCCAGACCCTGTGAATCCCCGCGACTTGCAGCACAGAAAAGCTCACATCTCGTGAACCACTCTACAGGGTCTACGAATTTTGAAAAGCGCTCCTGACATCTCCTGACGGAGTCTTTCGCGACAAAGCTTGATGTTCAAGGCCCCCTACCACCCCTACCACTCTTTGCATCAAGCTCAGGAGACTTTGCCCAACCTGCTGTCTACCTGTTCAAGATTTTCAGATTGATGGCCGGAGTCTCACCGCCTTAGACATTAGACTTCAGAGGCTCATCAACGGTATTGCAGCAACGCTCAGACACGATCCATTTTCTGTACTCGTATTAGAGTGAGCGCAAGCAATCATCCCGGTAAGCCCCGGAAGCTCTCCTGGATTTGAAGCTGCCAAGCCTAAGGGAAGGGCAAGGCCACCGCCCTGGCTCGAAGATCCGAGGGGGTTGACTTGAAGGGGTCAAATGCCTGCACTTTGCGCTCACGTCTGTGGAGGGCAGACAAAGCAAAACCGAAGCCTCTGCATGTAGACCAAGTGAAACGCTGGCATTCTGCAGAAGAGTGACGAAGAAGCGAGAGTTGCGCTGGCACGAGCCTGTTCAGGCAGGGGCAGCATTTTTCTTGCGGGCATCTTGCCATGCTCAGGGCGGCACGGACCAAAGCTTCTGGAGGCAGGCCGTTGTTGGACACATGCCGCGCATACTGGCAGAATATGGCAAACAAGATTGAGCTGTACTTCCTTGATTCGGCCTTCGCCATGCTGCCAGGCTGAAGTGCTATGGTCTCTGCCAAGGTAGAAGGCCTCATGAAATGCGACACCATGCAGCATCCCCATCAAGCTTCTTGTGACCGGGCCCTGACAGTTCCAGCACGTCGAGCGGCATGTCCTAAATGGAGTGCAGGGACAAGAAACAACTTGTTCCTCTGCAGGAGTCCGCTGAGACTCCAGCCGCAAACTGTTGAGGAACCCCGGTATGGCACAACATGTGCACGGCCTGCCACACGTTGGACCGAAGACCGCGCAGCAGTTTAATCGCTGGGCTTTGCCAAGCTCCTGGCATGACCAAGTTCATGGGATATGGCCACAACCTCCTCCACATTGAGTAACTTTGTTTGGCCAAGTCCGGCTGGTTGCAGGTTGCAGCCTCAATTTTCATTACACGACTTTGCTACACGCGCATTGTGGTGCCTCTTGGAGCCCCGCTGAGGAATGCGTGACCAGGGCACAAGAGTTGTGCCCCCGCCAATCTCACAGCTGGCCGACCCAGCATGCTTATCCTCTGGCTTGTGCTGAAGGTGGTTCCCAGCACGTGTTGAATAGCTGTGTAGTTTCAGCCTTTGAGCTGCTAGCTGGCTGAACTGGCAGAGACGGAGACAAAGAGGAGACAGGGAGATAGAGGGAGGTAGAGTGAGGTAGAGCGAGGTAGAGGGAGTGAGAGAGAGAGAGAGAGAGAGAGCCGTTGAGCTGCTTCACGGCCGCAAGTGTTCTCGGTCCTGGTATACATGTCCAAGTACACGTAGCCAAGCTTACCTCTCCCAGGATCGCGCTTGACCTGGGAAAGCGCCCAAACACTCACGGCCTGAAACTACACCAGCAACAGCAACACCAGAGGGCTTAGGCTACCATGCCTTGCACACCTCGCAACTGCTGGCTGCGTTGAGGCTACAGCTGCTGCAGGAGATGGCGCCCCGTCACGTACCTGCGTGGCGAATATGCACGGCAAGCATGCACCCCATCCCTCCTTTCTCTCAGAACCAGTCCACCTACACATCTTGCTACACTATGGACCTCGAAGATCTGCACCGATCTGTGCCAGCCATTCAGAAGCCGTGGCAGGAGGCTCGGAGGTTCGACCTGAAGCAATTTTGAACTATAGAGGTCGCTGCTCGCAGTCCTAGCTGCGGTGGAATCTCTGCCTCAAACCGCTTTGCTGAACCACTCTACCAATATAATCTTCAAACAGAGCTCCTCAATGCAAAGCACATGGTTTGACTAGCCAAGGGAAGCCTCACGAAAAGTGACCGCGTACGCCTTCCCCACGATGTTGAGAATACTGGGCCTGCAGGAGGATGGGCTGCAGGACCAACGCTGCGGGCTTGTCCCTCAATTAGGCGAAAGCCCACCAATCTTTGTCTGGGCCATGCACAGGCATTTGTCTGCAGGGAGGTACTCTGCGAGCCTCAATGTGGGGAGCGCACACTCATATGCCCCTCATCTCTCCTTCACACCTTCGGGACCCAGACTTCCAGGTGTCTGCTTGTCGCGACAGGTAAGCTTGCCAAAAAGCCTCCAAATCAAGGCGGCGTCCGATACCATGCAAACTGGGTTGGTAACGCTCTTCACGCAGGGTCAGCTGACCACCAACGAATGCTGTATAGATACAGGAGCAATGAGGTTATTTGATGTTGCTTTCGTAGCCCCGCCTATCAATGATCCCGGTAATCCTCGCACTATAGTGAACCGTCATTCGCCATTCCAAGTGCTCAGCAGCGCATCAGGTATGCTCATGGCAATCAACGTGGCAATTCTGCCTCGACTGTCCTGATATCTCATAAGCGCAGTCAATATTCTGCGCCTGCCCTTTCCGGAGTCACAGGACAATTTCAAGTGCAGCCTCGTCCGCATGGTTGACCTTGCTGCGACCTCGCTGAGTGGATCCTGATCCAGAGTTATCCGGGGCTACGGGATTTCCCTGATCTGCCAACAATGAAAGAAAAGCTTCGGCCTGGAACCTCTCTTGAGCTCCACTCTTCCATTTGCTTCTGCACCTGTACTTAGCTTCAGGTCTTTCTGTATTTACAACATGTTCTCCAAACTTCTTATAATACATTGGCTCCTGATGACTTCTGATATGCTCTATCAGGCGCTTAAAGAAAAATGAGGCGGACAGTTGAGGCTCCAGCTGCCAATACACTGGGCTGGGCGTCTTTCCAGCCTAGGCTTGTATCGTGTCGTTTTGCTCATGCATTGATAGCCGCCAGGCACCGAGCAACGGTCCATAAACTGACGAGCTGTAGCCTCCAATGCCACCGAAGTCCCGATATGCACAGAGGCTTTGTTCATTTTGTTCCTTCGATTTGTAACATGCCTCATCTCCCACAGCCATGGGAGCCATTTCCAGGTCCGCCCAACTCCTCTGCGTACATACAGCAAGACTGCCGTGATCAAAAGAATTAGCAGCACAAATCTCTGAAACGGGTCCTGAACCCCAGCCTTTCAGCTACCTGCCGACGGGTTCCTGGCAGGTTCCTACAAACTGAAGCGTGTGGTTGTTACACTTTCACACTCGCCAAGGCGCACTTAGCAGCTCCAACGCTGCCTGGAACGGCGAGAAGGGATGCTCCAAAAAGCGTGGGGACTGCAGAAAAAACAGGCCTCGTCCACCGAGGCGTCAAAGCCCGCATAGTAGGCCTGCCAAGCTTCAGCTAATCTTGTACTTGCAGAGATCGTCCCTGCAATGGCTCCTCGAACATGCGACGGCGCGTCGCAGAGTTCTGGCAATAATCCGCAATCCTGTGCATTGACTGCCATCCTGAGCATGGAAGCCCCTAAACTGTGCGCAAAGATGCTGGGGTAGGCCACATGCAGGTGGCAAGTTTATGGCCCTTTTTGTTGGCAGGGAAGTCTAAAGTCTTTTGCTGCTGGCAGAAGGAAACAAAGGACACGGGAATGTCGCAAGATATCGCAAGGCAATGACAATTCGCCGCTGACAAGCACTCCCTGTCAGCAGTGCATTATCCTCGTTTGATGGTTCAGCAACTAAGCAGTCATCCTGTGGTACATGAAGACTACCCGTGTCCTTCGAGGCTTCTGCTGCACTGTACAAGTTGACGAGTCTAAGGAGACAAATGCCAATCAATGACTGGCTGAAGGCTAGCAATCTTTCGCACCATCAGCAACGCAGTTTGCGTCACCAGTAGCGCTCGCGTCCTCTGCCAACTCAGCCTGCAGCTTTGCAAGCCTGGCCAGCAAACACTCGACACTCCTGCTCCCAGCTGCACTCTGCACCGGCACTGCGTTCGTTTTCGCGCCTCTGTTTGTTCCTCTTGCCAAGCACTCGCAGCGTGGTTTTCTGCTCATGCTCTGTCATCTCATGCCAATTATTGATGCCTTTGAACTTCAGATCGCTGACACGGAAGGAAGCGGGAACATGCTCAACATATTGTGGCGCCGACGGGCAATGCTCCCGTCTGCGTTGATAACCAGCGGGCCAAGCTTGTCCATCTTCACCTTTGAAGTGAAGCGAACAAAGCAGCAAAGGCGTGAAAGCTTTGCTCAGTGGTTATGCGAAGTTACGTGGTTATCCAGGGCACTGGATTTCCATCGACGACGATGGCGTGGACATCCTCACTCTCGTTTGCATTTGCTCCATCCTCATGCAGGCGTCATATCATATCAAGGGATCTGATGACTCAAGCCCTTGCAAATAGAATGAGCTGCAGGTAAGCTACCTTGGGAGCCTCGATATGCACAAGGCGGCCGTTGAAATTGAAGGCGTCTTTTGCTGCACTCAATACTATGCGTACTACGCGACATCCCTAGGACCGTGGCCTCCAAGGCAAGGGTGGGCTCCTCCTGAAAAGCGAGAGAGCGAGTGAGAGCGAGTCAAGGCTGAGTGAAAACCCTTTGGTCCTTTGGGTCAAAAATGGATCCGTCAGGCGCTGAGCCCATTGTCATTCCACGTGAGGCGGCGTGGACTATGTTTTCAGAAGTTATCTTGAGGGTCACTTTGCATTCTTCCTGGATCTCTTTGGCAAAGCCAGGTGACCGTTGAAGTTGTCATGTCTCTTCAACTTGATACATTCAGAAGTTGATGCCATGTTGGGGCCAAATGCATTGCTAGCACGAGAAGTTCGCATCTCGCCATTGGCCAGGGGCTCACTGCGCTCTCTCACGAATCCTGAGATTCACACCGATGGGAACTCGGTACCTTGCTCTGCGCCAGACCTTACTCAATAAAACGACCATCTTTCCATGCGGACATCTTGCGCTCATCCCAGCTCAGAAAAATGTCCCTCGAATCTAGGCAACGCGCCGCAGCAGAGCCAAGATGACTTTCCCATACCTCATCATCGACGAAAAGTATCCCATGTCACACAAACAGATGCGCTTGGCGTACATGATCTATGATGCCTAAGCTGACTCAGCCTTTTTGAGGCGGGGGCAGACTTCATGTCGTCTGTGAGGCCTCGAAGGTCCTGTGAAGCACCAGTGCCTTGTAAGGCTATGCCACGAAAACTAAGCAACAGGATGCACCTCATCATTCAGGTCCAAGTACCCTCGACCTGCCAAACCTGCAGCGCTTAGCAATGCGCAGCAGGGTGTGAAGTTTCTTTGAGAAAGTTGGTGCCTGCCTCTCCCAACTTTTGCTTGTAAAGCCTGTCGCTGCTTCTGTGCAAGATCCTGATGCAAACTTGCGGGTTATGCAGTGTGTCCCGAAAGCAAAGCAGATTCCTCCAAAGGCCCCGGCCATCAGCTCAGCTGTGGAAGCCTGCATTCAAATGTTCATGGGCCCGCCACATGTCCACCCAACACTTCAGCAATGAGCTAGCTGTTTCAGTCTGGTAGTGTTCAGTGGCGGCAATCACTTGCCTGAGTTATTGCTTGCCTCTGTTGCTGTGATAGTGTCAACTTCACTGCAAGATTGCTCCCCTGAACCTTCATCTGGAGTATCAGATGGGTCCAAGCTTGGCAGTGACATTCCTTCCTTGCATCCATAAAATTCTTCAATTGCATGGTTCCATGCTGCCTGCTAATGCTCAAGAATTGAAGTGTGTCCTGCCCGCAAGCTCACCATCACAAAAGGTTTCTACAATGTTTGCTTCGCTTGGCATCGGCGAGGCGTGATGTAAACCCAGAGGTGCCTCAACTGAGGCATACAGCAGGACCCCAGCTGGGATGCCCCGTGCCTCCTGGGCAAATGCAAGGTTCACAGGTCCATTGCCGATTCATCCATGGCCAATTCACCCCATTCAAAGCCATGCTCAGCCCATTCCACTGCGCTGGAGCTATACCACTGCCTGCCCTTCTGAGTTTGGAGCCCCGGGCTTGATGAAGCCGTTGGAAACACCCTTCGAAAGCGCCTGAGCCAGCTCAAGTCAAGTTTCTCCAAAGGGCCAAGGAAGATGAAAAGTTGGCATCCGCCCAGGCCGAGGCCGGAGGCCTGGGGCACTTAGATCCAGAGATTCAGATACTCGGAGAGTAGGACTAGAGTAGATTAACCCTGCTCCCACTGGAGGGGGCGGGGGCGGGGCCGGAGGGGGCGACAGGGGCGTCAGGTGGGGCCGGGGGCGCGGAGGCAATGTTTGCTGCGCAAACGCATTCTCTGTGCTACCTTTTATTGGGCGCGCGAACAAGATCGGGGGGGATGGGTTTGGAAGGGGGCTGGTGTCCCTGCAGGTCTCCCATACCCTTGCCGAGGCTGTCCCGCGTTAGCGGTCAAACTATTTGCCTAAGAATCTAAGACCCTACAAAAGGGAACGCCTGATCTTCAGAAGATACAACGTTTAGAAATCAGCATCCTAGGATTCGGGCTGATTTGTACCAGCCTTGTGCTAGTCCTTGAAACCATCCTTGCAAGTGCGAGACCAAGCTGTAGCATGTAGCGAGCATGTTCTAGCATTCACCACTTGTCAGTCATGAACGAACAACCGAGCGTCCGGAGGCAATGACTGGTCTGAGCACATCGGCCCCTCCCAAGGCCTGCTTTCTTTTGTAATAGTTCAGTCGTGATGCTTGCTTAGTCCACCGAAGCACCATCTCTAGCAATCTATCAGCCTATACTCTCCATTTATCTACACAGAGATGCCAGGGGGTGCGGTTAACATGCTGATAAATAGATTTGTTTGTGTGAGCACAGTCGGGAAGAGCAGTTCCCACATGTGCCCGCCTGGCCAAGGCTCAGCAGGTTTAACCAGTGCTCCAAAGTTTTCGCCAATTGAGGTTTGTCGCCTGTAGAAAGAGCCTGTCTCGCTCGAGCATGTGCTCGCCTGCAAGCAAGTAGCCAGAGGGAGGCCGAGGAAACATCGCGCAGACACAGCTGCCGCCGATCTCCAGACGAGACAACCTCCTCGAAAGCGTTCTTTCGCGAAAGGACTTGTCGGATTGAGCTGGCCACGTTGAGCACTGCATTGATGCCGGGAGCCCTTATCATCAAGCCACGCTTGGAATAAGTCACGTGCTAAAAGCTGTTTAGAGCTGACCATGACCACGTGGAATAGCTTTCCTAGCTTGGTCCTTAAACTGCCATTACTGAAACGGCACTGAAGCCTCTTTTATACAGCGGTCAGTATCAGAATCTGTGGGGGTCTTTGTTGAGTTACATCAAAAGCTGAACGTGAGGAGCCACAGGTCCAGAGAGCGGCACGTGCTACGTTCTGTACCAAAGGCTATAATGCCTCTTTAGCTTTCATGATGCAAACTGAAACTGTCCAACAAAACACGCAACAATGTGCGTTTGTGTCTTTTTTGCTCGGATCTATGCCATCGGATGCTTGCAGACCGGGCAGGTCTGGCCTAAGAAGAAAATGCGACAATCAGGGAAGCAAATAACTTGAACGTGCATTATCGTGAATCCATATTTTCCGGGATCTCCGGACTTCCACTTGCTTGGATGCAGACTTTGCCGAAGCCAGCGGTCAATGCAATGCACATGGTACCTGACACGCGCACCACGTCACTTCAAGTCAGCACCAGACCTCGGATCCGTAGAGGATTTTGCTATCCAATGCCATCCTGACCCAGTCTCGCCCATAATGCGACGAAACCCGGCCTGTGCAAACAAGGAAGCAGGCGCAGCCGATCAGCCTCTACGAAGTTCTCGCAGCAGATGGCGCACGCCTGTTTTTTGGCAAAAGCCGCCAAGTTCATGCTCATAAGTGCACTTACCAATGGGAAGCCTCTGCTGGCACCTCGGCTGGCGTAAACGAAATGACGGCCGTTTGGCCCGAGTTGCCCTGACGGTGCATGACGGTGCATGACGTTGGAATGACATGCACTGCCTGTCTGTTATGCTGCGTGCACTGTGTGTGGCCCAGCATGGCCTGTGGATCTGGAGCTGGCCTGGCGGAACACCACAAAAGTAGACATCTACAATCTACAAGACTGAACTCAAGCTTGGGCTCAACATAGCTGCACGCAGATGTATGAGCAGGCACGTAAAGCGTACATCAGAAGGGATGGCAGCCTCGACTGCGAGTGCGGCCTGGACTGCGGCCTCGGGGGCCTCGAGGCCAAAGTCTTAGCACGTGCCCGCCCTGAATTTGAATTGTTCCACAGAAGGCCTGCCCCTGCTGGAGGAGCTTCCTGAACTTTGAAGGCACCAGTAGGATGTTAATACAAGCAAGTAGCATCTCTGAACCCTGGACTGTCCAAAAACATTTGATAGGGATGCGGCCAGAGGCATCCATGTTGGATGACGCCACGGGCCTGCAAGAACATGATGCCAAGATGACCAATTCTACACCAGGTGCTCAGGTTTTGGTTCAAAGTGCCTGCGCCGCCCTCTTTGCTCGCGTGACAAGCTGCCCGCGTGCCCGTCCAAGCCCCACAGTCGAGTGTAGAAGCCATCAGAATCATCAGGGGAACTGTCAGCACCTGCTTCTGGTTCGGTGGGCGGCAAGCTTCCAGTCCCTCCCCAAGTGCTCGCTTGGCTTCCTTCCCTGGAGCCCTCTCTGAAACGACGGGCCTGTACTCGGCGTCTGGCTTCCGCACGGTGATTGCGATCCTCGACTGGTCTCAGATCTTCATCTTCAAGGCCATCAGCGAAGCAAAGTGCAAGCGCCAGAGCTTCGTCAATGGATGCCAGCTGGGATGGGCGGGCCACCCCAGCTGCATGCGATGCTTCCTCCTGTCTTGTTTCAGCCGAAGCCCTGTCTCTGGGGCCAAACTGCAGCTGAATAGCCAAGGCTTCATCTCCAGCCGGAGCACGGCTCAGAGCAGCAGAGTCTGTCCGCGCGTTGGTCCACTCAACACGGGGCCGCCAACCCCTGGAATGAGGAACTGCGGCACGGTTTTCCAGTACGCCAGGCCGCCTGGGGAGGATAGACACATTGCCCTCATCATGTAAATTCTGCACGGTTTGGAGAAGCCTGGCCAAGCTGCTGCCTGCAGGACCACGCACTGGGTCACTTGCAGCTCCGCAAGAACGACCTCTTTGGGAAATGTCGGGAGCGAGATCTGGGCCAGTTGGTGCCTGCCAGGCGTTACGCTGAGGAAGGCCTCTGCAGGAATCCCGGCCACCCAGCCCTCGACGTAGAACCTCATCTCCTCCCCAGCCTGCGAAGCATTTCAGAGGACCCACAACTGTAGTGTCGCTTTGTAGCCAAAGGCCCAGCTGAAAGTCCATTTCTTCAAAAACATCCTGGACTAGAATATTCCGTTGAGCAGTCGTCTTGGCAATGCCCCGGTCACATGTTGCCTCCCACCTCAAGACAGGGATCAACCTCTCCATACAACGCCATCAGCTTGACAGGAAGCCTCCAATCTCTCCTCCTGTGAATATGGGCATTTCTCATCTGCAGGCTGCAGCCTCGTACTGAGACCAGGCCAGTTGCCAAAGGCATCACACAGATCGGATGCGAGGGACAACACTTTTATCTGTCACAGGTGCTGTGTTGCGATGTTTAGGGCTGATTGCTACCAGATCTTTGCTGCTTTTTGTGGAAGGCGATTGGGCAAGGTCGGGGAGCATCAACGCAAGTTTCGCCATGCCAGGCAACAATACACATTTTCTCACCGAGCTGCCTAACCTAAGCCAACACCTCTTGTTGGTGATCCTACCGGGGGAGGTGGAGGTGAGACTGCGCTGGGCCTGGCAAGGGCAATGACGATCCAGGAGTCTCAAATGCTGAACATGAGCCCACGCACTGAAAACACAAGCAGTGCTGGCCATGAAGGCTGCTGTTCCGACTGGAGGACCTGCAGGAAGCGTGCTGGCTTCAGGAAAAGGGACCATACTCTGCTAAGGTGGCCTGTGATGCATACTGCTGCTGGTGCGGCGGCATGGAGAACAAAGCCTTTCGAGGGGCCTTCCCAAGCTTGAAGATCCATGAGCTAGGCACACCTAGCAGCATTGTGCTGAGTGCACCACCGTACCCGTGGCCTTTGGCCTCAAAGGATAGATGCGCTACATATGCTGATTGCAAGGTTTCACTGGGCAAAAGACGGGAGGGGCAGCCCATGGCGACGTGGGCGCGGCTTGGCCCAGCGAGCACCGCTGGCCTACAGGGGCAAAGCAACCTGCTCTACTTTTGGAGGTTCACCAAACACCAACACAACCATCTTGCCTCAGGATCGCCGGGGTCTCCCACGTAGTTGGCCTTGAAAAATGCAAGTCAACATGGGCAGTCTGTCCATGCAGCCAAGGCAGCTTTCAAACGAGTCCCCAGCAGGCGCAGTCAATGAGCTTGCCAGGATGCTATTCACGGAGCTAACAGAGGACGCCAGAGATGTAAGCCTCAGAGGCGAGACGATGTGAGCCGAACCCCTCCCCAAAAACAGCAATTCTGAGGCCAGCTCGTGTGAGTCATGTCAGGCATTGCCTCAATTGCCTCTTATATGGTGCATCAAGGCATTAGCCACAGCGAAGAGCATTTCGTGAGCCCTGACCTTGGTGGTGGTCCTGCAGCTGCGTTCCTGGGCGACCAGAAAGCCTGTCCAATCGCTCGTAAGTGTACTTGAGAGAAATGGGCTGGGACGAAAGCTCAATAATTCATGGACAGGAGTGGCGAGACAGGACGTGAAGAGACAGACAGCAGCCCAGCACTCACTGCCCATTAAAGGAACTGCAAATCTTGTACAGAAACCCCTCCTATAAAAAACCCTCCAAGATCTCCCCAAGATCCCCCAAGATCCTCCCAGATCCCCCCAAGACCCCCCAAATGCCCCCAGATCCCCCCAAAATCCCCCCAAGAGCCCCCCCAAATCCCGCCAGGATGCCCCCAAGAATCTAGCCCGAAAAGGCCTCCCGCGGCAACACACAAAAATCTGCCCTACGGTGAAGGAAGCTGCAAAAACCAGCCATGATCCCAGGCTCACTTTGTGAGGTACTAAACGAAGCTCCCACACGGGAAGCTTTCGTGATTTGGTGAGTACAACAAACGTCTGGACGTGCTGTTGACCTGCTCGTAATCCTACGAGTATTGCTGCCAAACATGCCGCAGGCAGGGGCTGTTTGGAGAGAGCTCAGTCATTTTCATCTTGCCCACTCCGCTTGCCGTTGTTACCATCCGGACAGGGCAACCCAGCTTGCTGAAATCCATCCTTTCTGTTTTCACCCCTGCGTAGCTTGGACCTGCATCCCACTCCCGAAGGAAGTCTGGCAGTGACATAAACGTCATGTAGCATGAAGTTGGCCTACAAGCAGGTCGTACCGGACCTGTGCAACGAAGTTGGCAGCGTATAATTTACAGCCAAAAGGCGCATCCGTAAATTTAGGCTTCCGACATGGATGTCGTATCTCCATCTTTCACAGGGGTCTTCCCAGGTGCTGCAGCCAGTCACGCTATTGAAGTAGTACCTGACGAAAGAAGTCCGGAACAAAGGAGTAGCACACTCTGCAGCCGAAGGAGCACTGCTCACATCCTGCGTCCCCAAGAGGTCCAACCCACTGCTGTAACTCCTTTGGCAGCAAAAAGGAAGTGTATAATCAAAGGTAAGCACACAAGTCATGAATTGCTGCATAACATAAACCTGTACTGGACTTCCCGCCCATTGCAAGCCACAAGATTCTTAGTTCAGGCGAGCAGCAGCAGCTGCTCGAGCCTGACGGGCGAGTTAGTACATAGTACCTAAGCATTGTAATTTCAGATTTGAGCTAGTGCAATACCTGATCACGCAAGGTTATGTGTGTGTACGTATCTAGGCTTTGTCTTGTCTGTGAATTACCCGGCGGCTGATTTCAGGGGCTGACCAGCCTGGATATCCGTCAAGACAGCTTCAATGCGAGACGCCTGCTCGAGACCAGGTCAGGCATCACACTTGTGCCGCTGCAGCATCATTCACTTGAGGACGCAACAACCTGGTCCAGCTGCAGCTGCTCACCCTGAGAAGCAAAATTGCAATTCTTCTGTGTCTGGAGTTTGACTTGCGGAAGCCAAAGCATGCCAAAGCCAAAGAGGTTTTCCAGGGCGGCGGCTGCGAATGAACTGACTTGCTGGAGCACCTGGCGAACATCCCTGCTTGGCATGCTCATACCAAGCGTTGGACTCTTGGACCTGTGTTATGACATTTAGATCCATCTAGACTTCACAAACCAGCTCCAGCTCTGCTGCCTCTTGAAAGGTCTCTGTCAGAGGATGCCTGCATGCGCTACTGCATGCCATCAATGGAGCGGAACATCTTACGAAGTTGCAAAATGTCATTGCCGAGTTGCTGCCATGACGACTCATCCCTCAACTGGTTGTAGAAGTAGAGGGCACCTCTCAGTTAGGCGAGGCCTAAAGAAGTACTGTACTACTGCTGTACAACCTACCTCAACTTGGGCGCCTGAAGCAGCATCAATCTCCTCGGACCAGTGTGGAGGATATGGGAAGGCAGCTGCTTTCCGAGCGACCTGTCATACTTGATCGCAAGCGATGCACATCACAGCTGGGAGTGATGCCCAAGCCTCCAGAACTGCTGGGGGTGCCAACGGCGAGACACAAAGGCTGTCCAAGAACTGGCAACCAGCTGAACACGGGCAACCCGCAAGTAGCGCTCCAACCAAACCAGCTGACATGCTCCATCACAGGCCTGCTGAAAATCAAGATGTTGCCTTGACGGACGGCACACCAACCAAGCTCCAAAAAAAGACTTAGCGGGCATTCTCTGAGATTTTGGCGGCTGGCTCAATGCCTTCCAATCAAACAGTGGCGCAAGGCCACTGCTAAATACCTTGTCATGTCAACATCACACTAGCACCACATATCACACGTCGCGTTGTCCATGTAAACCGAAGTCTTTCTTGGCCATCTGCGCTCTGGGGCTCGTCGGCACCAAGCATCGCCACGTGCACACGTGGCTTTCCACATGTGGCAATCTGCCAGTTTTCAACGTGAGAGCGGGTTGTCATATCGTTTGCAACTGTTCGAGGTGTTTTGCCCTGGCTCCGGCTCGAAGTCCAAAGTCATCCAAAGACCAAGGCACTTTTGACACAAGACCCTATTCACATCTGAGAGCGATCGGCTGGAACATACTTGAGGACGGCAGGGCATGAGGTCGTGCGGGTTGGCGATAGCTAGGAGTCCGCAGTACAGTTCTTAAGACATGCATACTTGATCCAAATGGCTCCTCTGGTATGAACCACTTGCAAGGTCCATGCAATTCTGATGCAGACATCTCAACAAGCGTTATGCCAACCCCGAGCGCAGTCTCCGAGAACACTTCCATGCATGTTCAACAGTTTTCGTGTAACAGCTTACGCTCTGCTCGCCAGCTCTTGCATGCCACCCACTTTTTTCCATCGTCGAAGATGTCCGTCTTCTCATGTACAAGTCCGGTCAGACCGTTAGAAGCAAGCATATCTACTGCAGCTGAATGCTAGTCCGAACAGATCATCTTACTCTGTTGCCAAATATTGCAGTGACGCAAGTGATGCGAACAGTCATGGTGGAAAGCAAGCTGTCCGTTAACTTATACCTCAATTGTCTTGTACCCTTCGAGGTCAGAGTCCGTGGCGGTGAATGTCAGCTTGAACCTTGGACAAACATAGGCCAACAGAGGCTCTCTTCAAGGAGGTTGCAACGCGGATTTCCAGCACTAACGTGCTATGTATGCTGTGTTCTGTTCCTGGCTAAGGTCCGCACGCATCCTTCATTTGCTTAAGCCTCTTGGGAAACACCTGTAGGGTTGGGTGATCAGACCTTTGCCAAAATTCTTCAACTGCAGTGGTATCCACAGCCTTCTCAACCTGGGGAAGGCCATCCTGCTTCGGGAAATTGCCCCAATATCGCTGATGGAAATCACCCCAGTATTCCTGCCACGGCATACAGGCTGCTCTGGCATGGATCTCTCCCCCAGCAGCTCCTCGACCAGATCCTCGGCCGTCCTTCCCTGCGCATCTTTGGCGTCTTTGTCTGCACCATTCTTGAGCAACCAAATCACAGCCTTCACAGGCACTCGATGCTGTTAGCTGCGTTGTCAGAAAAGATCCGACATATCCCGATGAACTCCAGGCCTTCGGGTTGTCCGAGAGCACGGCCCAATGAAGCGGAGTGAATCCCTCCAAAGTGTCCTCCAAACTCCAAACACCGTGAGTTTGAGGATTCTTGGAATGTCTTTGCTGCGTAACATTCATGCGAGCATGCCACAAGAGAGTGTGTTTTTCGTGCTGAAATCGTACGTGACACAGGATGAAAATCTCAGGCGCGGACTGGGGCATTGATCTCCTCGCTAGTGGCCTTCGCCAGCATCTTGAAGCCCTGACCCTCGAACATGCCGCACTGCGCACCTGCGCTAGATGTCCTAAAGAAGTTCCAGACAAACTGAGCTGCAACAGCCCCACGGATTGGGTCGGGGCACCAATATGAGCCACGTTCCAGGAGTGGATGTTATGCCTTCTCTTGGAGCCCATGTAGTCCTGCACCCAGACTGTAAAGGCTTACGCGTGCACGGGCACAGCCCAGTCAACCGTTCACATGTGTTCACAGCAGCATCAGAAGTTCAAAAGCATGCATGCTTGTCTTTGCGTGCTGCCCATCAAGGGAGTTCCACCGGGGCGGGCCTCTGGCTGCAGAAACATTGCCGCCTTTTGAGCGTCAGGATGCTTCACCTGGCAAAAACAACCTTAAAAAGCCCAACATGTGAAGCCTGGCGTTTCAATGCGAGCCGGAGCAGCCCACTTGGGAAGCTTGTAACTTGCAAACGGCTTGTGACCAGGCTGGTGTTCCCACCTGGCATGAAAATCAGCTCAGGACCGCGGCAGCGGGTGAGCTAGAGCCAGATACATAAAGACACCGCAATCTTTAGCAGGGAAGCAACTCTTGCCGAGCCCACTTCACAATCTTGTGATTCGTTCTGGGGACACCGGTGGGAATGCCATCTTTGGTCACAATCCTGTGCAACTTTGACACACACACACATAGGCACATCAACTTGTCAGACCAGAAAGTCTTGCAGAAGTATCCGGTGCTGTAACACAGGCACAAACTGCCAGCCACGCAGGGAGTGCTTTGACACTCATCCCCACACCGAGCATCCGGCTCATCATTGCCACCCACAACAACATCTTTTACCTCTGCTAACGTGCCCATTGCTGCTGGAATGAGCCAAAGAGCTTGCCATGGGCACTTGTTCTTCGAAGCACTTCATGCAGTCCTACTGTTGCTTGCACCATGCCGATGCGGCACCCCTAAAGGGAAGTCAGCCTGCAGCAAAAGCCAGAATCTTTTTGCTTGATGTCTTGGTCTTTCAACACAGGCCTTAGGCCTGGAAAGTTCAAGTCGGCCCCTAAAAGATCTGCACAGGTGCACTACCTGCTTGCACCTTCGGAAGCATATTTATGTCTTTGGAGGTTGGCTGGAGCTGAGCCGAGCTCAATGCCGGAGCCTCCATATGCCGGCGGTAAATTCTTAGCATCAATGAATTTGAGGAGGGTACTTATGGACTCTTCTGTGCCGACGCAGACTTTCAGCCGTTCCTGTTGTTTCTTGGCCAAGAACGGACGGAAAAAAGCCCATACAGTCCGCCACCACTCAGGGGCATTGATGACAATTACCAAGTGCTCTCGATCAGGCATGTGCGCTTGAACAGCGTTAAAAGATGCCGAAAAGATTCGCAAGAGCCTTGGCGTTATCAGGGATAGACGAAACCCTTCCATGTCCATAATGATGGTCAAATGCTGCTTGTCGTCGCGTTTGAGCCAAACGTCCCAAGTGAACAACGTTTGCCAGATGTAGTCATCTCGAATTCGTTCAATTGTTAAGCCATCTTTGTCCAGTCCAGTTGTATTCCATTGCCCCACCTTGTTCCAGTATGTGAGACGCCCAGCCTTGTCTGGCAGATGGATGGACGTTGGGAAGTGCTGCTGCACCTTGAAGAACTCGGGATGAGGACGTTTGAAGATGCCTTCGTCATCTACTTCACAGCGCCACTGCAAAGTTTCTGTCCACCTTTTCATGGCTTTCCGCACATCGCCGTCGCAAGACTCCAGCATGTACTGGGGCAGCTCCCTACCCAGTTTTTTCAAATCAGTGGGATCTGGATCCGGCCCCAACGCTGCAGCTTGACAAGACTTGGAATTGCGCCCCTCACGCGTCAATCTGAGTGAGAAGCACAACCTGTTGCTCAAGAGAACTGAGGCAGCAACAAAGTAGATGGCAACCAGGCAGTTTCTTCTTTGATGCTGCTCCCGCCGGTGCCATGGCACCAAATGGCTACACTGCATCTTTCCGTCCTTGCAAGCCTGACAATCGTAATATTGCGTGCTACGACTGCACACTGATGTTTCCTGAGATGATTCAACAAGGTCCAATCGCCATGCATGAGAACCCTATTCGGATGACCAAGCTGCCAAAGGGCGGGAATCAGCTCAAATTGGGGTGCTCGTGTGAACTTTTGGGATGAACAGTGTATGGACATGTACTGGCGATACTTCCAGCGCATCTCCCTTTTTTGCTTGACCTACGTGAGCACATTTGTACGCCCGACCTCTATTGATACCCGACTCATCTTCCTGGAAAGTCCTCTGAACTCGTTGAAGGTAGCCACCTATGGCAGCTCTGCCTATGGGCATTGCTGAACCCAATGACGATGATTATCTTATAGTATGTCAACCTGCAAGATGTGCATTTCCCTGTTTGTTCCATGGCGGAAATGGCGAAGGATGGCAAAGGAGCTCTCTCAGGTGAGGAAATGCTGCTCCATTGCAGAGCAGATGCTCCAGCGCGTTTTGCACGCACTCACTGTACTCTCCTGCCACAGAGACACAGAGAAGGGAGAAAGAGAGAGTCAGTCAAAAATCTATGGATGCACAGACAACCACGTGGGGACTTTGCCCTCTTGCGTAATGCGGGCGTCATGGGCTGGCCTTGGGGTGTCCATTTCCGTCATGTGAATTTCTACCGACGAGCCCTTGCGTTCCACCTTGGTGACCTTGGCTGCAGCACCATGCGGCTGGTTACCTCTCATGTCCTTCGTGCTCTCCTGCATGGCCAAGCTAGTATACTCAGTGCCAGCCAAAACACCTGAAACTGGGTGCCTGGTGCAAGAATGTACCTTAGGACAGGCAGGGAAGTAGGCTCGCAGAATGCTATAGCACAACCTGTTAACAAAGGGCCAATGTCGTCCAGCTGCTCCTCCTCACTCTTGTACTGCGAAAAGTCTCTGATGCCCACGCTTCTGACTGCAGTGATCCGAAAAAGGGTCGACTTCTTGGAGCCGCTGAAGCCTTCGGGACTCAGGCAGTATTTGCGGATGATGCCCATCGACAGCCCTAGGCTTGACTTGAACTTGAAACGCATTCTGAGGGAATCCGGGCCGCTGCTTGCAACTGACAAGTCTGGAGTGCAGCTCGACCTGAGCCGAAACGAGAATCCCAGGACCCAAAGTCGGCTGTCGAAGTTTTAAGGATTCTAAGGGTGCTGCACAGCCCACCACGTCACCACCGCGCCGACCTTGTACTGTTCCTCGAGATCCAGCGCCACCTTGGCTGATAATGTCTCCACGACAAGACACAGGAAGCCAAACATGTCGAGACCACGGTTTGTCAAAATTCCCGTGTTCCGGTCCTTGTAAGTACGGCTTGTTTGGCATGCAGATGCAGTCAAGACTCTCCGCGGTAGAGCTGCCGCTTGGAGCTGGGCAACTTCTCCATGGCTTCAAGGAACAACCTACCAAGCAAGGAGCCTGCATACGCCTTCTGTGCAGCGACACAGTTCGAAGGCAGTCCTGAGGTACAGAAAGTATTGCTTGGTCTCCTTGCGCTCAGGGTCGCGCCTTGGGCTTTCGCGCTACCGCGGACGTTCTTGTAAGCAGTCATCAAGTATTTTCGGCGGAGGGTCAAAGCTGCATTCAACGCCTGCGTGCAGAATCTCAAATCTGCTTCCAAAAGCACTTTTTGGTATATCTCAGTATCTCAGCACTTCCCACACGCTCTGCATGTCGCAAGAAGCGACACGCCGATCTAGCTACACTTCCTCGGCTGTTGGCGCCACCCATATAGTTGAGGGGCAGACAGCTAGAATATACAGAATGGGCATCCTCGCCATCTACGCATAAAGTGGAAGGAAAGCGTGCACCCGCCCAACCTTGTAGAGGTGATTCGTGGTGTACAAGTGCAACGCAGCGGCTTCATCAACGGTCAGCCCAGCTCCTTATTTGCAGCGACGTTTTGGGCATGCATCGAAGCCCCATGAAGCAGAGCCAGTGAGTCAAGCATCTGCTCATCTTGTCCGCTTGACCCACGGATGCCTAGCCGCAATGCCACTCAACTCACCTTCCTGTTTATCTCCTGCCAAGCCCGGTCACCTTGCCAGCGACAACTTTGTTGAAGGGCTTGCATGTGGCCGGCAGGGCGAGGAGGGGCTGGGAGGCGACACCAAGAATATCTTCCTGACTGGGCAGGCAAACGGCAAACGTTCGTAGCATGCCGGATCTCCAGAGGCTTTTGAACCAAAGTCTAGCCTCTACAATCGAGGTCTCATACATGTATTACGCGTTTAGGGTTTGGTATGTTTTGCTTGCCCAGCTAGGCTTGAGCACGTGTCCAATCACAAAGCCGGAAGGCCAAGTCATCCGCACGGCTGTCCAGACCTTGGATCGACCACCTTTCCAAAGAGGCACGCTACTGCACACCAGCGCTTGTAAACATGAGGCAGGTACCATCTTTCAGGCGTTCCAGGTACATCCTGCCAAAAGGGAGACATTGCTGTGCGAAGGGCTGGTTTGAAGCAAGAGGCAAGCAGCCAGTCGCATGATGAGCAAGAAAAAGAACGGGTGTGGACCCAGTGACCCAACCTAGTGTACAAGCCGGCCCGCGTCCGCTACTCCCCAACACAAGCTTGTAACACCCTCAGCTGTACCCCTGAAGTGCCTGCAGCACGGCATGTGGACAGCAACGTACATGCCTCAAGCCACTGAGAGTCCTGTGCAGCTCTTGAGTTTCGGCGACAAAGGCGCCCATCTCTTCAGCCTGCTCGTCGATCCCCAGAGCCGCCTGCAGCAAAGTGAGCCTTTTGCTTGTCCACTACAAGATTTCAAAACCGCAGTTCCGCTCTGCCTTCCAAGATGCATCAGGAAGCCAATCGATAGGCTTACCCAGCTTCAACTCAGCAATTGCCTACACATCACACTTGCTCAGCGTGCTCACAGTGTCCAGCAGGCTGAAGAAGCCTTGTTGATGCTGTCGAACACATTTGGCGAATCACAGAAGCGGTCACCCATGGCAGCCGGATTCTTGTGCTCAATGTGCCTCACCTTGACCTTGATGAGCATTTCACATTGCTGGAAAACAATGCTGCTCAGAATGAAGACGTGCTGGCCACTGCAGGCTCTCTGCACATGAAAAAAAGTGTGTGCGCCGCTGCGGCAAAGACTTCGCGTTTCGGTGGTTGACATTTTGCCTGTGAAGCACGGAAAGATGCCACAAGCCATGCGCCGCACTCCAGTGGAGGCTTCTGCATTGCGAGGCGAACGATTGAATGGACGCGACACCTCTTGGACAGGCCTTACGATACTGCGCACGGGCTACAGCACAATTGCTGGTGCGCTTTAGCCCGCGCTGCTTGTTCGCTAGGTTGATTCTGGTTTCTCTTTAGGTTGAATTCAGCTCTGGCCGGATTTCTAAGTGTCTGGCGCCTGGGAACTTTGCAAAGGAGCGCTTGTCCAGGAATTTCTTCGTCTTTAAGCTCTCTGAGCCCCACCAAGCCTCAGCATGGCATGCAATCTAAACGCATTCAGGCAGCTTTCTGATCCTCTTCCCGCTAAATGATTCTCATCAACGCTATCATTGCGAGCATCGCTACTGACGATGGCTGCCGCACTGAGATGTTTTGCAGGCTAGCAGCAAAGATAATCGGGCGATTGCTTTTCTTGCAGTCTTCTAAGATGGCATCGACCACCGCTTCCATAACTGGCTGCCAGAACAGCAGATGCTCCTGCAATAGGCTGGAATGGCTCACGATAAGCCCCCTTTCGGCTCCATGCAAGTTGACGCGTTTTTGGTTCTGGAATTTCAAGGTGTATTGATTTTTTGCCCCTTCTGAAGAAGGCTTATGCCTGTCGTCACTTGGTTGCAAATGGGGAAGATGCTCTTTGAACAATTCGAGCTGGAGTCCTTCTCGTATCTTATTCTTGTATCAAAGGGTCGTCATCAAAGCGCCTTCATACTATCGATGCGTGAAGGTTGGAGGTTGGGTTTCTTTTTCAGAACCGACATGCCTCGACCACTTCACCAGCACGTGTTCCCTCCACAGGCTTGATCGTGCAAGCAGCATTCATCAGCAGAACACCCTGCGCCAGCATCGCCTCAGCTGCAATGTCTGAAGCAGTTGCTGCGATGGCGAGGTAAGGTTACGGCTAACTGCTCTGCTACTTTGTCTCCAGCATAATCAGGGTGGAAAACCTACAACAACGAAATAAAATGTTGCCCCCCAAGTGCCTGGAACCACTCAGGCGGACCAACTATTCCTGAGTGAAGCACTGATTGTGCGCGGCTCCAGGCTGTAGTTTTTGGGTACTAGCAGACTTGTGGACACAGGCAGCGGACGTACTGAGATCGTGGCCCTCTTTCTTCAGAAGTTTTCGCAAGTCTGGAACTTTGGTCTCTTTTGAAATCTTGAACTTCGACATTGCCGCTGCTTTGATTATGCAGCCTGACGAGCCACTACACAACTCGAGCAAAAGAAGGAAGGCTCGGCAAACGTAACAAGACCCCGCACACTGCAGAAAGACATTGCACCCAAGGATCGCATGGTGACCACAGCACCGAATTTGCCCGAATCCCAAGATTTAATAGCATTGTCAAAGTGCGCAATGCCTGTTGCAGACTCGATCCGAGGATAGGGCGACTGTCCCAAGGACACCACTCGCCAACCAGAAGGCGCATTGGGCTTGAGCGCTTGGAAGGTCAGCTCTCGCACTGGGATGATTTGCTTGTCCCGGCTGGGCCCAATGAATTTGGGCGCATCACTCAGACTTTCTAGGACAGGCTTCAGGATCTTGAACCAGCTAGCGCCATGACCCATTCCGGCAAATAAGGGTGCAAGCTGCAAAGGATCTTCCGCATCAGGGGGCGCTACAGCATCTACAGCTTCCAGCTTTGGCTTCTTGGTTTCTGGAGCGCTGGGACCGCTGGAAGCTGGGCCAGGACGCTTCTTTGGTGTGGGCGCCAGGGTGGCCTTGGCCTGCGTTTCTGCAGCCGAGCTGGACCCTCGCGCCTTTGCCCTGGCCTTGGCCTTCGGCCCTCGCTTGGGCTCGGCTTCCACACCACGCTTCGGTGCAGCTTTGGCCTCCGTGGATTCCGTTGAAGTTGCGACAATCGCCTTTCCCCGAGCATCCACCTTGCCTTCCACAACACGGCCCCATGTTGAAGGTACAGTTCCGGACAGAAACCATGTTATCTTCACTCCGCTTTTGGCTTTTTTTGCCCAGTCTGAGCTCTTGCTCTTGTTCTGCTCCATGGCCTGAAACTCCGGAAACTTGATCGATTTGCAGCCGTTCTTGGCCTTCACCACCTTCAATGTTTTGCCGCTGGACAGCATCACTGACGTCTTGTCGCCGTGTATGGCTGCATGGGCGGCAAGGGCATCTGCCTCTGAGATTGGCATCTAAATTTCAAAAGCACCGGGTAGGCTTGCCTTTGGCAAAGACTCGAGGGTGACAGCTCCCAGAACACGTGGCAATCATGCATCGCCATGCACTTACTGATTAGCCCAGCTCCATACCTTAGAGATCTTGATAGAGAGTCTGTAAGCTCAATGTGCATCAATCTCAGGAAACGTCGAAGCTTCGAATGAAAAGCTTCACACAAATCTGCGAAGTCAGGCGCGTCTCCCATCAATTCAAATCGAAACACAGCAATAGGAGCCCCTTCCAGGGTTGGTACTAACAGGCTTTTCATCCCTACAATGTGTTCCAGCAGAGTTATATTGGTTTGCTCACTTGATCCCCTTTAAGCTTTTCATGTCGACCTTTTCTGGCTCAGTACTTTGGCAATGAATCCAGTCTTAGCTTAGTTCAGACCTCATCAAGCATCACGGTCAGTGGGTATCGGGAATTTGTGGTCTGACAGGACATGTAACCATCATCGAAGTCATAGTTGAGCACGACACCTTGTCGGCCTTCATAATCCGATTCATCATCAATGACCTCTATGCGATCGCCTGGATAAAAGTCCTGTGGTGACTCGACATAGTCCTCGTTGTAGACCTCACGCCAGCGTGTTCGCTCCTTGTCGTGGAACGCAGCAACATCTTCTGGATTGCGCGTAATGACTCGAACATCATTGATGCCAAACCATTCCTTCTTACCTGCTCGCATGAGCACACGCGCAGGAAGATGCCTGTGCGCTCTGGAGCACGCCACTGCATCCGACAGTCTTGGCACAAATGCTGTAGAAGGGGCACGCGCATACATTCTGAAGGCAGAAAGCTTGAAAGCCAGCCTCACTATCAGTATGCAGCCGCAAGCAAGCAAGGCTGCACGTGACCTCCTCATCCTCTTGCAAGCTGTTACTGTTGTAAACTCTTAAGCAAGTGCTCGCCTCACATTGACTATTGTGGTCTCAGGCACCAGGCTTGGCTGTAGCTACTGAGCAGAACCAGTAACAGCTCTTAAAAAACTGTTCTCACTACGCGTGATTATGTCGTCAAGCTACCGGCTGAGCCAGGATTGCGACCAACAGTGACCATGGTGAACTGGCAAAGTACCGTAACACTGCCTACCATCCTGTTATTTGAGAAACCCTTTGAGAATCCATTCATCCCAAACTCATCCCAAGTATCAGTAGGTCCCCTGTTCTTGCAAATTCTGATTCCCACCGCAGTCCCACCCAGAATTTGCAAAATCCGTGGCGGCTCCTGCGATGTATCAAGGAACAATGCTGAACTCGAGCTAGGGGTTGAGGATAGATATAGCAAGTACAACACCTGTAGAGTTGCTGACAAGCAGCAACAGACGCCGAATTCAACGCCTAATCCCGCATCATCTGGCTCACCTCCATAGGTGCAAGGAAATTCTTTAAGTATGAGATGACCATGAGTCCATGAGAGTTTATAGCGACGGTACCAGGCGGGGGGACAAATCACAACTGTTCACCACAACATGGCTTCCGTGGAAGGTGAGCATTCTCAAGTTCAGCTTTTCATGAGCACTGCATCTAGAGTTCAGCCTTAGGCTGCACTCCTTGCATGTCTTGAGATGTTACTGTAGCTGTAGATCAGTCTGTACAGGAGATTAACATACCTGCAGCTCCTGGTCATACCTCAAAAGCTTCATCTACATGATTCATACTGGCAGGAACCAAGGCAGAAACCAAGGCAGGTTGCAGGTCGACAATAAGCAGCTGATGGCCACCGGATGCTGCGTCAACATTCCAGCAGCAAAATGTCAGTGACAATATGTCAGCGACAAAGCATGGCCGTAAGCTTCTTGTTTTCAGGAAGCTCCCTTCGTCTTTGCAGGTCTTTGACGGCTATCCAGAACAAAGCCTAGCAAAGGCTGTGGCGGCCAGTGTGGCAGCAGGCTTAGGTCAGCACTGCGGACCCAGTGCGCTGAGTGCCAAATCGATGGTCGAGACATGTTGGAAACATGTCTGGCCTTCTACAGGTTAGTGCCGTGGGCAACACATGCTATAATCCGCCTGTACCCGGTACGCTTTCGAAAGGACCGCCAACGCTGTCCACCTCGCGGCCAGTGTGCTGAAGCTTAATGCCTTAACTTCATGCTGCGAAGAGCTGACTTGAGGCTGTGGCGTGGTCTTCCTTTGCACCGAGCCCTTGACATCAAGAGTCTGGAACAATCTGGAGAAATGCATTACACATGCGAGTGGCAAGCTGTCTGTAGTCTGTAGCTGAGTGATGCTCTGCGCAGCAACCAGCTAAATCGTCGGGAGCTGGGCCTATGCAGTATGCAGATTGTGTGGCGACTGATTCGATTGCATCACGCACATGTTCCTTGAAAATTTGAGGACCAAGCGGTGACGGCAACCCTGGGTGCTGAGCACTTGCAGCCTGTCATGATGCCCAGTCCAATCCGCTCTGTGCAATTGGTTAGATTCTCAGGAATTCTGTAAGATGCAAGAAGTGCCTGCTAACAAGCGTTGCTGAATGCTGTCACAGATCATGCAAAATCAAAGCGTTCTTTGTGTTCACTAGCTCGCTGATTCGTCCCCCCGTCAAACCTGTCGTTGCTTCTTGTGTCCAGACCTTCTGCTGCGTATTACATGCTCACTGGGACGATGGTTCTGCGGCGATAACCCCATCTTGCTGCTCGTGTTTGCATGGCTTGTCTGTTCGAAGCCTGGCTTGACTTGAGCGTACTCCAGGAGAATTCGCGCTTGCCCAAGTTCCCAAGGCCCCGGCCGGTGCGTGCGCCAAAGGTCCCGCGTAACCTGTTGATGCGGCGCAGGCTTGTAATGCTACAAGCAGAAGTGGCAGCATGTCTGGCTTTAAGCAAGGCACCTTCGCCAAGATCTGTGTGCACAACCCAGCTCTCGCTTTCCATCCGCAAACGTTTGTCGGCCTTACAGCCACATGTGCTTTCCTGCTACTCCGGCCACGGGTACGTCATAATCATCTTTCCCTTGCAGGCTGACACAGTACGCAATGCTGGCTAAACCTCTTTCTCTCCCGAGAAAATTCTCTGCATCCGACCGAGCCGTTTGTGTTGCAAGATCTGCTAAGGCAAGTGCTGCCTTCTGGGCATCGTTTGACTCTGCCACCACACCCTTCTCCGATACAGAGGCCTGTGCATCAGCAGCAGCATTCAGAGCTTCCTGCTACAATCTGTAGCAGTGGTCAATCGCTACCAGCAAAGCGGTTCCAGGTTCCGTGACAGATCTGGACTCCATCATGGATGCCCAGAACATGAAGAGCCCAGACCTCCATTTCGGTCTCGATGGTGGGCTCCGCCGTGCCCACAGCAGCAAGCTTCTGCCAATCACCCGCCTATAGAAACAACACACGAACAAGCCAACGAATGCGAAGATCATGGCCCTCCTTGTGAAGACTACCCACCATCATATAACGGCCTAGTACTCTTACTCGTTAGTTACTAGATCCTTGCTGTCCTCATTTGCGTGGAAAAGCTCTTCCTCAAGGATGACAATCATGTCCAGGCTTGTTTGAACTGCTGGGTCTACTGCATGCGCTGCGTAGCGCAGCTTGGAGACCTTGTCAGAAGCCTCAACTCGACTGAGAGCCACGAGGTCATCAGTCGCAAGTCGAATAGCAAAGGGTGTTCGCTTTCGGTCTGGCCTGTCGCCTGAGACGGGCCCTCCGACGAAGGCGAAGGTCAGCACACGCAACTGTCCACCGCCAATACAAACAACGAAAGTTGGCTGGTACAGAACGGGATCAAGTCCACACTCAGCTACTAGCTGCATGCCTGGGCTTACAGAAATGTTGACTGCGCACTCCGCTGCCAAACTTCTGAGGGCTTTCTCATCGATCTTGTGCCTCTTCAGGTACTCTGGATCTGGCGTCTCGTCGAAATCACTTGGAACGCCCAGAGTTCCTCGCCGGTGAAGCAGCGCATATGCCACTCCTTTTTCGTTAAGGCCATACCCTTCGTCCAAGAGTTCTTGGCAAATGGACTCTGCCAAGGCGTCCAGTGCAGCTTCGCATGAAGCCGTGCTGACTTGGCCGATGGATTGGTGCTGCGGACGCACAGGATACAAGCGTCTTCGGCCAAGGACCAGTATGCTTCCACCTTGCATTGTTCTTCCCAAATCTCTTAAGCGTTCGAGCCGCTCTGTCTCTGAAGACGGCAACGCAACTTCAACCTCAGGGCAGGCAAGCAATTGAAACCAGGTCGCAAAGCAACAGAGCAAACGCGGGACACATACGGGAGCCTGAAGGCCCGCTATAATCATTAGGTGGAAGGGGAGTCCGTGGAGTGGACAAGCTTTTTCGACAACTCCCACCACTCCCTCTGGACGTTCATGAAGCCCAGGCGGAAGCGGTGGCAATCCTGTCCGCCAAAGACGGCTACTCCCCTCGCCGATTTTGGTCATGGCGCTGACCAGAAGCTCCTTGGAAGTAGCTGCAATCTTGTGACCAAGTCGCCGTGCATGGCCGCCGCCCCGTGAGGCAGAATCCAGGAAGCCAGGTGCAGATCCTCCAGCAGCAACTGCGCGGCTACTTTTGGAGGACTCGAAGGCAAAGACTTCCTTCATTCCAAAGCTTTCTGTAACCATGGCAAAGCCTGTGCTATTATGGTAACGCGCAGAGCCTTCTACTTTGCTGGGGTGGTCAACGTGGGATGGAGGCGACGCGATTTCCCCGGTACCTTCTTTTGCAGTAAGGCATCTGATCTGCTGGCTACACCTACCAGCCAACAACACATGAACCCACTAAAGTGAGGAAAATGATGAAAAGTAAAGCTGAGCCCATAGACTTTGCACACGAACATGTCAATGTACTTCTCATGCCCTTAGAACTCAAAGGCAAGTGTATCCAAATCATGGGACGTGTGGCTTCCCTGCTGTCTGCGTGGATGTGGCAAGAAACAAAGCCGCACGATTCCGCGATGGAGCGCGACCATCTGCAACAGCTCATTTTGTTCTTTGAGTTGCCTTCTTGGCAAGAGGGATCCGACGCGAAAAATTGGACATCAACTGCCCAGCACCTTTCTATACTTCTTGGTCAGAAGGCACGACTCTACAGCCGTGATGCCCCAGTCCTGCCGAACAAGCTGCATCGAGATCACTGAATGCAAGATTTGAGTTCATCGGCTTTGCCTTACCACTGTTGTGCCCAGCTCCATCAACTCCGGCTCTTTCTTTGGCCTCGCAGCGCTTCGCCGTTCCTCCTCAAGCTTGATCAATCGCTCTTCTGAAGCCTGCTCCTCGTTCAAGCAACCAAGAATGCCGTAAATGACCTGAGCCATATCATATCCGCTTCGAGGCACGACAAACTTGAACCTCAAACATTCTGAGGGATAGTGCTGGCACCTTGTAGTCCAAGTTGAGTCTCATGATACCTTGGGTAACGGCCTGCAGGAGCTCAGCTATGACAAGAGCTGGATCGATGTCACGGCAAAGTCATACCTCGCTGATGTACTCGAAGTGCATTGTGCCGCCCTTTATCAGGCAGCCAATGCCTAGCTCGAAACAGAAACGCAACAGGTGGAGGCGCTAGAACAAAGGAGTCCCCAAGTACCGCGCTTCATCAGGGGAATTATAGACATCAGAAGGCATACTCTGCACAGGTCCCTGCCCTACTCGCCTCTCTGCTCGCCTTCTTAGAAACACTTCTGCGCCTTTGCTTGAGATTCCTGGCCTTGCCAGGCCAGCGGAATCTTCTGATATGAGTGATGGGCCCTGATTTTGATGTGGCATCCTTTATCGTGCTCTTGAGGCTACAAAGATTTGCTGTAGGCTTCGAGTCATGCTCCTTTGATTCTTGAGATGTCCCATTTGTCTTGGGATTGCACTCAGGGCTCAGTTCCCAAACTGCATTGCACCAACGCGACAGGGCCACCAGTAAGGACAAGTAGCTGCACAAGTTGCCCACAGCTAGATCACAAAAAGCTGTTGAGCTCTTGCCGTGGGGTTGCGGCATAGGCAGCGCAACAGTGAGAGTGTTCATTGTTCTCTTATGTAGCGTACTGGACTCCACTGGCCCCGCAGGAAGCTGCATAGCTGTACAAGCTCGATGCGTTACCTGTTCTAGCCTGTAATTTGATGGGCAGAGGAACCCCGCTACCAGAAGTCTTCTGCCGTGACAGCAAACCTAGGCTACGAAGGCCTTTCTTGACGAAGGCTATACCCCAAAATTGTTGATTTGTTAAAGGCCTGGGCGTCGGTCTCTGCTTGGCCTGGCTTTGTCCAGAAGCTGCCAGCCATATTCCCTTTCCGCCTTCCACTGGGTTTATCCCTAAACCCTTAACTCTTTCAACTTTCTACTTGTTCCACTTGTCCAAGGTGCAAATGACTCCATCAAACCGACCAGAATCCAAAAGAACCTGCAGTGCTGCAGCGCAGGTCTCACGTGGCTTGTGATTCAGCTTGAGGGCCTGTGCAGCCTGAGGAATCTCGTAAGATCCGGCCTCAGCTCCACTGGCACGTATCTGCCTTGCCCCGAAGCGCGGCATGTGGCCTGAACCTGCCCACCTGGATTACTTCTTCCTCCAGGGAGCTCATGATAGGTTACATGGGCTGCGTAGGAGTCCAGCAACGTGCTCAATGGTAATGTCAGAGACCTGAGCTTTGGTTATGAAGTGACATCATCGAGTGTGATAATGACTTCGAGAGACTGGGTTCGGTGCGTTGCAGGACCTCAGGGCTTCGACAGCCCCGGCAACCAAACTGTCCTTTGGAAAGTGCAGGCGCGGGGAAAGTTGAAGAGACTCCAAGCTGAGGCTCCGTCACATACTATAGAATTCCATCTGGCACTCACTATCCCGATCCGAAGCCCTGCGCCATCGTAGGTGGGCAAATCCTCACGTGAGCTTCAACTCAATCCATTGCTGTCTGGCCACGGGCATGACTTGCAAGAGGATAGGGACCCTGCCAAGCCACGGATGGTTTGCGCGCTATCTGGGTTCGGAGCCTTTGCAAGCAGACACCGCTCTGTGCACAGCTGAGACAGCTCCAAGCTATGCTCGCTATGCTAGGGCTCACGGCATTCTCGATTTTGCGTTTTGTTGCCATGGGCCTGTGCACCACACACCATTTCAAAGTGCTTCGTGCAAGATGGGCAGGCTGAGCAAGAGGGGCCTGAAAATTGCTGCCCGAGTTATGGGGGCAGGTCAGCTTGAGCAGCTGGACAAGGTTTGCAAGCCAAGTATGGCTCTCATGCAAGCCAAGTGCCGTCCTGTTCACCCTGAAGCCACACATGGTTTTCCCTTTCTCGCGGCACGTCGGCATTGATATCTGCCTCCAGCATGTCATCATCAGCTGCCAACGCAGGCTTCTGTGGAGGCTTTTGCATGAGGTACCTTGAGATGCTGATGTGTCCGAACAAAAGCGGAGCAGGCAAAACAGTAAAGCTTCAGAGCAACAGCCGAGTCTTGGACAAATGCATTAGCTGGGCGAGTTCCTGGAGAACACAGTGCAAGGCACGCTCCAGAAGGATAACGCAATTTGCCTGGGTGATCTTCAAGGATTTGTAGGACCCCAGACTGAAATCACAGGCTTCCTTTTGAAGGCAAAGCAAACCTGCAAAATTCGAATGTAATAATAATAATGATAATAATAATAGTAATGATGGTAATGAATAATAGGATTCCGCTGGCGACAGGGTTTTGGTAGACTTAGATCGGCCCGAACTGAAATCTGCTTTTGGGCAGTTGAAACCTGCAGAAGCCAAGTTGTAACCAAACGCATTATTATATCATTATATCTATATATACACATGTGCGTGCCATCCTGTGAACTGCTGGAATCTTGGACTTCAGGCTTACAAGTCACCCATCCACCGGTCCAACGGTCATCCCTCATGGGGCAGCCGGGCAGGCGCAGATAGATTACCGCGTAGGCCATGTAAAAAGCATTGTACGTTGAGACATGCCTAGACCTCGACACCATTTTGGAGCGGAAGCTTTGCACCTCTGGACATGCAAGCAAAGCCTTATTCAGCCACAAGGTGCTTGTTCGCGGAACCCGATGCGATCCTAGACCCAGAGCCTGTATATCACATACAGAAAGCTTCAGGTTCCAACAACTGAGAACTGGCCTCTGGTCCAGGCATCCGTATTTCCTGCGGCTTCAATTGGGAACCTCGAGGGGTTCTCCGCGCAGAAATGATCAGGGTTACATTGTCAAGCGCAGCTCCGCGCGGGCTGAAAATGCCTGATGTTCGAAATCTGGTCATTGCAACACCTCGAATTACATGCTTGTGGTGTAGGGCGTACCGTTCAATGGATCGAAACTTCGCGCAGACCACTAAGAAAACTTCTGCGCCATCCTGGTTGGATGATGCCTGATGCCGGCAAGATATTTTATATGTCCATGTGAGCTACGTTTGAAATTCCATGCCTGGCTAATGGACATGGGCTTCGGGTTATCGTCTTTAATTGTCTCCCATATTCGTTTTTCATCATTTCGACTTTTTCACCAGAATGACTAAGTAATACATCTCAAGCAGCAAGTCTCGCTGCATCATGCTTATCTTTTTGTTTTGTCTCTCCTATCGTTTTACTGGCTTTGCAGTGTCGGCCACTAAAGTCATGTCCACCCGAGACATGATCACCACGTGTCTTTTTCTTCTTCGAAGTGCAGCTGCTCCCCACTTGTAGGTCCACCCTCAAACACACTTTGAGTTTTCTGTCGCGTCGGATGGTCTTCTGAGGCGCATTCCTCAATTTGGTCTTGTCAACCGTGGCATCAGCGCAAATTGAAGCTCATTCTCAGCATCTTTACAAACTGTCAAGGCTTGCTTACACGGTCTTGCGAGGGCCAGCAAGATTGCGGGCGGCATTTTCGCGTGAGCACATGTTGGCACGAGCAGCGGAGCAGATGCAGGTCTACAGCAGCATACAGCAGCCAATGGAAACTTTGCAGCATTGGATTTCTCGCTGACACAGCACAAATGGCTGATTGCATGCATTAATTCCCCCGGAAACTGGATGTAGGAGGCATTCAAGAACTTACCTGCCATATGTCGCACATCATACTGTAACTGTAGGAACCTCCTTGATCCCTTTAATTAGGGACCAAATTTGAGCAACGTTAGCTTTGCATCCCCAACAGTCCTGCGAGGCGCGCTGCAGAAGGTGAGTTTCGTGGGCTGCGCCTTGTGTTCTGGTGTGCGTAGCTAGTGGGCTTAAGAAGTGTTTTCCCTGCTGCACACGCATCACAGGCCGCACCTGACTGCGCGTGCTGCAGCCACCGCTGGAGCCTCAAGCGAAGCGGCAACATCCCATCTTCGGATCTGACCCACGGTCCCTGAAGAGTAAGAATCCGACTCTACGATCCTGCGATCCGCTTGATGCACTTCCTGAGTAGAGGTCCACATCTGCAAGCCAATTGCTGCCGCTCCGTGAAAGCAGGCACAAGAAGCCCAAGTGCACAAGCTTCTGCTTCAAACAGCTGGATGATCTGCTTGCTGTCCGGGCTGCAGCGGCCAACTTGGCGAGGCGCTGGACCTCTAAAAACATGCAACAGCGGCAAAAGAAGGGTGTTGGCAGGCGATAGCATTCGCGTCAAGTTCCTGGTAACATTTTGACTGTCTACTGCGTGCTACAATCATTCCAACCAAGGTCTGCGCTGCTTCTTCACCACCGATGCCTGGTTTGCGTTCTTCATAGGGAATGCTGCTGCTGTCAAACGACTAAGCCTGATAAAAAGGCAGAACATTGAAAAGCAAACAGACTTAATCTTTTGACTTGCGCTGTTAGCAGGTCAGTCGGTCCCATTCTCAAATCAGTCACGACGCGGGCTCGATATGTCCTGCTTCGGTGATCCTAGCGCCATAGACAACCAGCCAGCGATGAACAGAAGGCCACCTATCGGCGTGACGGGCCCTAGGATCTTCCGCAAGCTATGCCCTTTTGGAAGTAGGACCAAGCCATAAATGCTTCCGCTGAAGCAAACACAGCCGTAAGAGAACAGTCTCGGGGCAGAGTTGCCTTTTCGAAGGCTGGCAGCGACGGCAACCATAACAGCATGAATCAGCTGGTACCAGGCCGCTGTTTTCCAGGATTCCAGAAGCTCAGGGTCAGAGACATACTTCTTCAGCCCATGTGCACCGAAGGCACCCATTGCGACACCAAAAGCACCGAGCGCGCCGCTCACAGCCTGTCAGGTGAGGTCTGCTTCCAGGCTTCCCGATCACAATGATCCAAGTAGCCACTAAGTAGCCTAGAGCCTCTTACTTAATTTTGTCGACTCTGCTTCGGCCCAGAAACTACTTTGCAAGTGTAATGTCAGCCAAGGCACTGTCCAGTCCATGGTTCCAGCACAGCAGTCCGCTTAACCTTCACCTAGTATCCTCCTTTGCGGTCAGCCAGAAGAGCCGCGGAGTTTTTTTTTCAATGCCCCGCTGTGCACAGTGCAAATGTTCTTGTCATGAGTTTAGCTGGCCTCTCCGAGCCAACAGCTGCAGGGCGTAGGTCGGTGATTCCTCGCTGAGTGGCTGGCTCCGCAGCTGGGGCGTCTCTTCGAGAAGACGCTGCAGCAAGCCTCGGCGCTAATGATGCAAGAAGGTACAAAAGGGAGAAAAGGCATCGCTACCAAAAGGCTGGTGGCCAGTCTAAGAAAGGAGCCCTCAAATGCGGACACCATTGCGCGATCCCTTCTCGCGCTTCCTGTGCCATGCGTTGCTGTGTAATACCATATCCTAGAAGCAGGCTTTGCATCCTGCTGGATTAGCGACTACAGTCAAATAATCATAGTAAGCCTCTGGGGCCCATACCCTCTAAATCCATCAGCGCCGCCACCTAAGTCTTTGATGTTCAGCTACAAGGAGCAAGAGACCCTCAAGACTTCAGAGCTTCGAAGGTTCGAATCCGTTTAGTGGCTTCCGAAGTGTTTGGGGGCGATAGGGGCGTTGGCAACTGCAAGTGACAGCTTCAACGTGATGAGGCCATTTTCCCCATCGGCCAAACATGGCCAAACGCTAGCCATGCCTCTGTCATCATCTGTGACGGCAGGGGTGCTGGAGAATTGGTCAAGCCAATGCTCATCCAAATCTGGCAGCTCGAGCAGCTCAGTGCCGTGCGGATGCATTGTCCGTGCGCGTGTATATTGTCTCCTTGCCCCTGCAGGTGTACTTGATGGCAAGGCAGTCTTTTCAAAGCTGCTTCGGGGTGTGCCTCTTCAGGACATTCTCGCGGAAGGAGTGCACCTGCCGCCCGCAGAGAAAGTAGAACATGGCAGTCCTTGGAATGGCGCCATAAGAACGCCGACGGGATGCGAGCGGCAGAGGCTCACAGACTGAGAGATGCGCCAGAGATCATCCACCAAAAAACATGCCGCATCGCCTTTCACAAAGCACCTTCAAGGACGGCTATTGAAAGGCACAATCCGGTAGGGATTTCAACGTGCGTAGCAAGGGTTTCAGGCTGGACCGAGCAGCGCGGCCTGTGAAAGCTGACAAGGTTCTCAATCGTTGTTGCGTCCAGTTGCAGCGCTACAATATCAGCGCCCTGTGGCACCATTAGCCCACCTCAATGATGGCTAAAGCCAGTGACTCGGCGGGCTCAAAAGAGAGATGCTTTCCGTCCCACTTCTTCCAAGCCGAGCCGCGGAAAAAATAAGCAAAGAAGGAGCTGACGTGGCCAGATCCAAGTCTTTGCTGAATCTGCCACAGCTCACCTAGGACTGCTGGACGCTAATCCTAAGCAACCTGCAGAGCTAAGTACGAGTAGGCTTATTTCAAGAAATATGGCTATCAAAATTCGTAAGTATAAGAAAGCATAGGACATGACATCATCATAGCTTGGGTGTTGCCGTCCCTAGGCTTCAGCGTGGTACACTTGGCTTCGGAAGACTGCACTTGCACTGACCAGGCACAAACTCATTTAACATCGGCGAGAAACCTATGGCCGATGGGAGGTAAGCGTGGTCATCGTCTAGCAGCATCAGCATGTCACCGGATACCGCCCTCAGAGCCATCGTGAAAACTGGGGGAGACGGTCATCTGAAAGCTACGTCCATGCACACGCTCAGCTGCAATGCTGGGCCTCTTGCACACCAATCGACTTCTGAAACCAGTCGACTGCCCCAAGCAATTTGGTGCCTGGTCCTGCATCCTCCTCCATCCAATGAACCTGGGCAAAGCAAGCAAGTAGCCACCATCGAAAAGAGCACTGCGCAAGCTGCTTCCTCACCTCCATCCATGGATGGCTTGACATTAGATGTTTGACATGATCCGGCAGCTCGTACTTTCTGCCTTGCGAGCAGCAGCCGTGACACCAAACACCCATAGTTCAGACGGCGAAGCCTTCGCGCACCGAGAGCCTTGGCAGTGAAAGAATGAGCCGATCGGGCCGCCTTGACCTCGGAGTTGGGACAGATTGGCTGTGAAGCGCATTAAACCATCAGTGCCGCACTGGCTGGCTATGGATTCCAGCGCTGGTCTGATCCCTGAGAGAGCAGGCTTGAGACGCCACCATCACAGTGCCCTAAGCAGTTTGTGGCCTTCCAGCCGTGATGGTAAGGAGGTCATGCCCACAATGAGAACAGGAGCCCTGGCGCAAACTAGCGTAAAGCTGCGAAAAGCTGTGACTTGAGGAGGTTCAGACTTGCTGAACTTCTTTTCTCACATCTTCAATTTATGGCGCGCCTGCAAGTTTCTATCATCAGCGGCGCTGGCTTTGCCTTGGAAGAATGCGCTGCGAAGTCGCCAGAAAAAGCGGCAAGAGATAGATAGCCACAGAAAGGAGAGAGAGGCAACGACAGACAGACAAACGAGAGCTTGCTAGCGGCTAAGAAAAGGATCGAAGCCACAGTGCACAAGGGTGTGCACGTGTTGTCGGGCCTAGCTGCTGTGAAGAGCAAAGTCACCTTCGGATCTCGGCCAGTAAGTATCAAAGTGCTACGTGAAGCGCAAGAGAGCCCTGCACAACGATTGCGGGCTAGTGCCTGACACTTGGCTAAGGGATGTAGTGGGGCTTGATTGAACTTTGCGCCAGACGGAGCATTCATGAGCATTCATTTGTAAGATGGATTAGCATGGCATGCCTTCCGAACATCACTACTCGCCGCAGGCTGTCCACGTGAAATGAGGAGAGCTTTGTCGCTGTATTACATGACTCCAAGCCAGTTGAATTCCCTCCGATTCCGCACTCCCGAGATTGACCTGTGTGAAGAGATGACCTGTCAGTTTTCGCCAATGTAGCTTCTAAGACAGCCCAAGATCAAAGAAAATGCAGCTTATTGATGTCTTTTTTTAGGCATTTGTATTGGGGAGAGGGATAATTATTAACACATACGAACGCCAAAGGGATAATGCGAGCGCATGGGTAAAGCCATCTGGGATCCGTGCAGCTGCCGGGCGTCGCTTGGTCCACCCCTGGCAATTTGTTGCCCAGCAAACAAAACAAGTAGATGGATTTACTAGCCTTCGAAAGCTAAAGGTTGGAGCACCGCTGAAAGCTTGAAATCGCCGCTGAGCTTTTTCTGCATTTGGGCTTCCTCTCGTACTTGGTTTAGCTCCTCGTTTGAAACTATGCCCGAGCCTAAAGGGTGCTGAGCCCATCCTTGTTGAGATTAATTGTCACACTCCACGCTGATCACAGGAATTCTGGCCAAAGGCTCAAGGACTTTACACGGGGCATAGCAACTGAGGAATCTGCTGATGCCTTGACCGACGGCCATGTTGTGAAACTAGCTTTGAATCAGCAATCGCCGTCACTGAGTTGCAATGATGGGGTTCAGATTTCAGTGTATTTCAGGTCGGCAGTGTTGGCATCAGCGTTCCAGACTTGCGCTGAGGAGCTTCTCAGGCACCCGCATATTTACAGATTGAAATTCGACGCGCTCTTAGAGTCACCATGCTTTGCTAGAAATCGACCGTGATCCACAGCGAGCGAGAAAGATTCTTCACCTCAGGTTGCAGAATGGCTGTCCCAAGCAGAGCTGGACATTTGTTTACACACAAACCGGCCCCGGTGCTTAGGCTGCGACCTATGGTGTTCGATCTTCCTGCTACCTGGATATTGCCTGGATGCAGATGGGTCGTGGCTCTCGCTACATGCCTCAACAAAAAGGTCTCTCCCTTTGCGCAGCATATCCAAGGTTGTCAGCAGCCCTCCCAGAGAGACATGATTGGTCCCAGGCACTTTCGTTGAAGGAGTGCCGTCTCTTCTGATCGGCTTGATATCTGTAAGCTTCGTAGAGGTCTGGGCAAACAAAGTAGACTCGTCTTGCCTTCTCGGTCGCAAGCGTTGCGCCAAACCTCCAAATGTTGGCTAACATGGTCACACAACCACACTGATTCTCACCACCAACAGAACAATGATCATGTGCAGCAGCGGCACCTCTTTGCTGGAAGCGGAGCCTGGCCAGCACATTCCAAGCGCTCAAAGATTTAAGCAGATACGAGTACGTTGTTGAAACTCGCTCTCGACGCAGCTATGAAGGGTGTGGTTAAGTCGCATCACATGGCATGACATGGCGGGGCGAAGCGATGGCAAATCCACGGCAGCAGGCCCGGCACACGCATGACGTTCGACAACGCGAAAAATTTCACGTTCGAAGCCGCACACTCAAGCGGAGTAACTGTTCGTCATCATGTGCAGAAAGGCGGGGGGCTTTCACAACAGAACTGCACTCGCACACGGCCTGATGTCGTTTCCGCTTTACGTGAAGGCTCTCAGAATATTCCTGGCATTTGCCAAGGAGATTCGCATAGCAGACCTCTCACTTTACTCTTTCATGAAGGTGGTCCAACCGCAGTCCTTCTAAGTGAGACCCGTCTTGTCAGTGATATTTCATGAGCGTTCGCCGAAACTCATGATGAAATCGGATGCCATGAGCAAGTTGGGGGGGTCCTATCGCTTTTCGGGCTTCTGGCCTATATACAAAAAAGTGTCTCTTTTGGGGGGCTCATCCAAAACACAGTTATGGTTCCTTCTTAGATTGAGGGGCATCCTTTTGGGGAGGGGGGGGGCCACTTTGGGCTTTCTGCGCATTCCTTTGTCTCATGGCATTCCTTCTCTTCGTGCCTCATACGCGAGTTTTGACCATTGCTCACATGGGGATTCGCATGTATCCTACTGTAGACATCCTGTCATTCCTATGGAGATCACGCACAACCCCGTCATTTTGCATGGATGCCCATGTAGAAATGCTGTTATATACTTCCTCTGGACAACACTGTCGAGGCGGAACTGAAACTAGACGTCGTGACGATTTCAGTGAGCTGTCAAAGACGTGAGAAGCTCTAAAATTGGGCGCTGCGAAGGTGCAAAGACTTCATGCATCTTTAGGCCAGAACTCCTTCTTCACAACCACTTAAAGGAAGCATGATATTATCCTCGTACCACCTCAGGCCTGACCCTGTAACGCACCCCCACCCGGCTTTATACCAGACGATGCGTCTTAACCTTAAGCCCTTGTAGATCCTTGTAGTTAAGCTTTCTGCAGCATCCTCCGCGCCTGATTGCTCCAGTGCTCAAGAGCTTCTTTGCCCTCGTTGTCTTCGATCTCCTCCTCCAACAAGGGGTTGCCTGGGCGGCATGTCGCGTCTGATTTGACTCGTCATGTCGTGTCCAGCGCTTGTACTTCTCGAATCCAACCAAGCTCAGGACCCGCAGATGTTCTGCTGCTGGCAGAAGATGAGATGGGCAGCGAGAGGTACACTAAAGCACTGGCGCAAAGGCAACAAGCTGAGACCGTGTATGGCAAACCTCGGGCTGGACTTGTCTCTACAACAAAAAACTTCATTGTACGCGAGTCACTTGCGAGCTCTCTGGCCAAAGCATACAAGTGTCCCAGAGAGGTCTCGTAGATGCTGCCGCCCACGAGTGGTCCCAAGGAAAAGCCCAGATTCAGCAAGCCTCTCTCCATCCCATACACGGCCGCCTCCCACAGCGAGGCAGTCCCTCACAATTCCTCTCAAAATCATTCAACCTGAAATCCCATCCCAACTCGCTGAGCAACCTACCTGGTGCTTTTCGGGCACAAGGCTGCCGACCAAGGATGCCTTGCTGACCACCTCGACCAGCGTGGCTGTGCAGCCAAAGAGCATAGCATAGAGGTAGGGCGTCCACCATGCCCGGGACCATGTCATGAGCACCTGCACCCGAGATCTTGCTGCAGCTTTGCCTTTTAACCATCGTCGTACTTTGAGGATCTGGAAAGCTGAAATCTGCTCAATGCTGCCCAAGCTGCCATCACACCAGCGGTGCTCATGGAAAAAAACACGCAAATCAGCTTGGCAGGAAGCAGTGTGCCCACGTAGGGTGCCAGGCTTCCCCACAGAAGGCTGGATGCAGAACAAATCATCATGAATTGTGCTTGCTGTTCTGGTGCAAAGCCATACTGGTCATGCAAGAAGAAAGCCTCAGGACCATCGCTTACGGCCTCAGCAGCTGATGCACACATATCAACTGCCACGAAGCAACCCGTGAACATGCTCTGGCCAAGGACACGACGAGAGAGAAGCCATCCTAGGATCGTTGACATGTATTTCATCTTTTTGAGGCGAACGCACCACTTTTCCACACGGCCCACAAGCCATCAGACAGGCAGCTATGAAGCATGCTACCAGGAGCATCTTGGTCGGCCCGTGCATGAAGTTGGAGCCTGGGCTGATAACATCACAGACTCGTCGCAGACTCAAAGTGACCAAACACGGCCAGACTCGGCTGAGAGCGAGGCTGAGGACAGAAATTTTGCGTCGAGGCGAATCGCTCTCCATACGTGGTGCCGCCTGAGCAGATCCACAGCTTGGCGTGCTACCGACCACTTGAAGCTGGTGGACAGTCTGGCATCCTTAACAACACACGCGGTTGAGGGGAGACTGTAAAGCACGATGCACTTCAAGTCCCTTCTGCTGCTGCTGTACACTGCTGTGTCAAGCTTGTTAATTAAGGCTTGTTGAAAGAGAGTGGGCTGGACTGGCAACATTGATGAACGCCGCGGTGTGTCCAACAAGACAAGGTCTGCCCTGGTGCCTGCCAGTATAGCTTTAGCAGTTGGGCAACATGGCTATGGATATAGCAGTACATCAAAACCCCGTTCTGTCGCAGGCTGGCCCCCGCCATACTCCTTGGTGGCGGCTTGCGGTTACATTCCTTTGTCGTGAAAGCATTGTCCTCAAGGTGCTTGTCGTAAGCTGGGCAATTCTGTTACAAGCCCATGCTCCCAAGTCTGTTACAAGTTCGGTGCTTTTGATTCGCCTTCTATTATGCACTGCACATGCAGGTTCTGGAATGGCAGGACAGGCTCACAGTCACATCAACTGCTCTGTCGGCTGACTAGAAACTCATGAGGCTCCACGTGAGAATCTGCACCTTTCAAGCGGCCTTTGCTGTACCTCTTGCCCAGATGAACATGATCCCACTGTTTGTCTCACGAGCAGAACATGGAGGTCGCTACTGCATATGCATGCAACCGGTAACCTGCTCAATAATCTGCAGCTGCAGCTCTGCCTTGACACTCTTGAGGTTCTCCGGGCATGTGAAGAACCATGCACCTCTGGTGCGCTGGGACAACTTCTGGGACTGTTGTGTTGCATGTGTGAGGTCCTGATTTGATTTCGCATGTGCCAGCCTATAACGAAGTTGAGCACACAGAGCCCTGAAATGGCATAGCAGAGGTGTTCGAATTGGAAGTGGCTCTCAAATCGCTTTCGCTCGTACGGAGCCACCATGCCACCTATGGCAGGACCCAGAAGGCATCCAGCAGCTTGCAGTCTTGCTTGCAAGTTCACCCAGTAAGCGCGATCGGACTTCCAAGTCAAATCAGCCATGTAAGCGACTTCGGCTGCCATGGTCCCGCTGACAAACCCAAGAGCACCTCTTGCCAGAACCAGTTGGAAGATAGAGTTTGCATTCGCCATAAGCAAATACCTGTGTGGGGAACTTGAGCACTTGTTCTACCACTTCCATCGAGTTGGGCTATGGTTCAACCGTTCTTAAGGAAGACCATAAGTAATTACCAAAAAGATCTTGAGTCTTGATGCATGCCACTCCGAGCAGGCCAGGCAAAGCTGCAACTGCAGCGATTGACCCCTTCACAAAGGACCCACTCAAGGCCAAGGCACACAACCGCAGTGGCAGCCAAGCCCCCTAACAGAATGGGTCGACGCCCGAGGCGATCTGACAGTACTCCCAGAAGTGGTGAGCTCAGCATCTGGCAGGCAGCATAAGCAGATGAGATCATCGCATAGTGAAAGGCGTGGCAGCCCTTGGCCATGGCAAAATAGGGAAGTGCTGGTGCCAGGATCCATTGACCGCCTGGCAGTGCAGTGCACTGTTCTGCTGGAAAGCGGGTAGTGCTGCTATGCTGGCAAATGATGGAAACCGGAAACTCCTGGGACACAACCTTTGCTGAACACCTCTGCAGTGGATGCAGCGCTTCAGGTACAGTAACCTCGAGCACCTTCCGAAATATCGGATTCAGCCTCAACCCCGACCCCAAGCTGCAGCTAGGCACGTTAGACAATGGGTTTGCCAGTTCCGCCTTCAAACCTTTCCTTGTGCTATGTCTATGGACCTCCCTCCCCGTCCCTTTATGAGGTTCAGTCAGAGCAGCAAGCCCAAATGAAGGAGGAGCAGATCAGCGCCCCAAGTTCGATTTGAGCAGCTCGGTTGTTGCGAGACTGAGGCTTCAGTGCAGGTTTCAAGGGTACAGCGGCAGGTGCCATGGCTGAAAGGAACTCAGGCCTAGGGTCTTCCGACGTGTTCTGGACTTAATGTTGCTTAAGGCCATGAAGCTCAAACCACGCCTGCACCTATGTTCTCCTTGAATGGATCTTGAGTCAACAGCAAATGCTGCAGGCGCAGCTTCAAGGCCACGGCCAGGCTGCTTCAAAGCAGGTCACACAAAAATGGAGCTCTGCAAGCGGCCCTGCAGGCCTGGCACCGCGAAGATGTGCAGCCAACAACCTCAAACGACTTCACGCTCTGAAGAAAAGTTCGAATTCAAGCCAACGTTTACCAAAACTCTTTAGATCACCCAGGTCATGCATAGTTTGTGTAGGCCCTTCATTTTTTGGGCTACTTGAGGATGGAACGGCTTTACTGGCATTGCTTTGAGGGGTGATGTGCCTGTTGGGCATGTTATGGCTGTAGTTCTCGCAACCCTGAAGATGCAGCTTTGACTGATTACATCCGAGATTATGCATGCATAGCTCGCCTTATAAACATTCGGATTTATGTGTGCATTACCAGCACTCTCAGAGAGTTAAGGTGGGGCTGGACCTGCCATTTTCAGGATCTGAGGGCTGTACGTGACCTGCATGGCGGCGCTTGCATTGGATGTCTGCAAGGATCATCTAGGTTGTGTCACGTCGCGTGAAAAGAAGAAGCCATCTCGGTTACTGCCGGCATGTGTAATCTTACAGTCATACTTTGCGATATAGACTCTCTATGCTGTAGCCTTATATTCTACAATCAATTTTGAGGAATCTTGCTTGCAGAATGCCTGGGTATGGCTCATGTGAACCACATGATGGAGCACTGCGGGGCAGCATCGATTTGCGTGGCACATCAGCTCGCTGCGCTGGGCCGTGTCACCTATTTAAGCGAATGGTAAACCAATAGATTTTCAAGAGCGTGATATTGATCTCAACTATCTTCTTTAGGAGCGATTTCCGAAAATAATCTTCAGTCCTGCTTGAAACTGGTTGAAAACTATTTCCCCCAATGCCAAACTTGCAGCACAAATGATTCGAAATGCCAGCCTGAGGCCAACCATCTTTTCCTCTACATCTACACTGCAACTAAATCAAGCGACCACATTGAGAGATTAAAAGCAGGTAGCTTCTCCAGACGAGGAAGGCATAGCAAACTTGTAGGAGAAGAGTCCTATCAGGAATATTGACGAACGAATCAGATGTTAAGCGATTTGTCAACATCTTCTACTTTGCTCAGCTTGCTGTCCAACACCTCTCCTCCACAGATCATTTCAGTCCGAGGTCAGTTTTGGTTTTGGCTTTTCCCAAGGATGCGACTTCAGAGGGTTTTGGCGTTACGGCTGGGATTTTTCCAGCCGCAAAAACAAGACCAGCGCCCATCTGGAACCACACGAAATGGGTTTGGCTTGATGCCAGATTTTTGTATCCATGAACATGCAATCCCCGGCCTGCATGGTATAGACAAGCTCCTGCTTTGGCTTGCCATCCCAGACGTGCAGGGCACCTCCTTCGAACGGCTCATCAGTCGGCAACGCCAGGATGACAGAGCCATCCACATTGGCACCATCCTGAGAAGACAGGTTCAACCGGCCTTGGAAAAAGATCGACGTCTATTCAAAAAACGCACTTGAAACAAATGAAGTAGAAGAAATTCGTGTAATCACAGGTGTTTGCATGAACCGCCTTTCTGCTAAGACTTTCGGGGCTTTTTCAACTCTGCACCTCGAGCCCTTTGAAATTGAGTCAGCTCAACTGACAGGTCGAGCCTACCGCACTCTTTGCAAGTTATGCACGTAATACTGATAAGTCTCAATATGCTTCTGTAACTCATCTTCTCCATGTATTGCACGATATCGTGTCACAAAGGCATTCATGACGTCAAACTTTTTGCTTCCATGGCGAAAACCTTTCAAGGTGCAATACCATTCCTCAAACATACTCACACAGTCGCTCATGACTTCGCCAAGACATCGCAGCATCGGCTCGTGGGGCATGATCTTCGGCTTCCAGTTCTCCATAACTACCATGTAGCATGAAATTCGCCATTGGTCTCCATATCTGGAGTTTCTGCCATAGTCAAGCGGCTGCTGAACATAACTTGATTTGATTTCTGGGAACAACTGCTGCAAATGCTGCTGGCTAACAGCTGCTGTCTTCAGCTCATGTGCAAATTTATTGCACCGCTCTCCGCCTGAGCTCTTCTTGGCAGCATCATCCCGTGCAAGGCCCAGGAGCACTTCCGCATCGCGAAGTAGGTGGCCGCTGGGTTTTAAACCCCGCTGAGACAAGTACCTCGGCAACTACTCGCTTGCTCTGAAACAGCAGAAAACATCTGCCAGTCAGTAGAGGAAACAGACAAACAAGGCAGGACCGAAGCTTGGAAAGACTTTCCTTCACCAGGAATCTTTGACAGGTTCCGCTGGCTAAACGAGGTAGCTCGTGCATCAGAAACCACCAAACAGATGGCTTTGCTCAAGCTCTGCAGCTCGTGGAAAAGTGCAGCGATCTCTCGCTCCTCGGCCAAAACCAAACGCTTCCGCCAAAGAATCAGAAGCCATGCAGAACCTGCAGGAGTGATTTGCTACAGCCACGGAGACTGCTGACTGTGCCTGCTCTCATGTCATCCCTAACGCGCCTGCCGCAACTGCTGCCGTTGAGACCAGCAGCGAGAAGGCGTGAACATGGCTGAGACGATGATGCAGCATGGTTTGAAAGTGTTCCCTAAGACTTCTTCTACTGGCATGTCATGAAGAACCTAGGAACTGGTGGTGGCGCTGCTCAGTGCGAATGTTCCATGATTTCTGGCTTGGAGGTGGGGGGCTGAAGAAAGTCCCGAAGCCGCAAGTAAAGACCCAACGTCTCAAGCACAACGTGGCCACGGGGGGCACGGTTGTAGCGTGCAATATGCAATGTTTGGAGGCACGCTGTTTTAGCTCTTCTTAGTTGTAGAGTGCCGCGGATCTGCAAACGAAAATATGATCGCCACACGATCTCGCTGCCTACGCAGCACCTTGTCCCAGGTGCCCCAGCGCTCGAACGTGTCAGCATCTGGGGAGCCTGGCGGTCTCACGGAGGGTCGAACTGCGTGCGTCCACAAGTAGCGTGCATTGCCAGCAAAGTGGTACGCTGCGCGGCGCGGCACCAGGCAATCGATATCTTGATCAGTGTACGAGTGCTGCGCATAGACCTCGTCATCGTTTGCCCGAACAGCTTCAGATCGCAAAGCAGAAATAGGAGAGAACGTCACAACCGCACTGCTAAGAAGTGACAGGACGAAGGTGCTTGGTCCGTCACCCAGAGGGTCAACGTGAGGGACCATTTGGTAATCGTCGCTGGATCGCATGTTCACAGTCACGTCTCGAATTGGACCCAGAGGATACCCGGGTAGCGACTCTAATTTTGAAACCACACTGTGCAAAGCAGCGGGAAGTTTAGACTTGTCAAAATGACTGCCCCAACCCCAGGGCGCCAATGACTCTGTCCTTTTTTCATCTCTTCCTGTTAGTCTCCAGGAGGCTGCGGATCCTGCCTCGTCCACAGTGAATTCATAGCCATGTGTGGCGGCAATGCCCTGCAGTTCAGAAACAATCTGCGCCTCCTCTTCCTCTGTAACAACATCAAGCTCAAGACGGATACCGGGATTCTGCTGATCACTAATGGAATTGCCCTCCATGTCGCGAAGGTACATCGCCTCTTTCTCGTCAAAGGGTCTGTATTTCGAAAAATGTTGCGGCGTAATCAGATAAGCATCTTCTCCCGTCTTCCGAACGCCGACTCCAAGATCTAACCAAAGTTGCGAGGCACTTTTTGGAGACACCACGACTGGCTTTGGAAGCGTGTACTCCCCTATCATCTCGAACAAGATCCCAGGACCAGCTTTCCCAATCTCGGAATCTGATGGCAAGGCAAAATCAGCAGGGCCCCACCAGAAGGCTAAGAATATGCACGCGCAAAGCAATCCCTTGATGGGGAGCGGGTATCGCATGGCTGCTGTCTTGGATTTGTATGACAATCCAAGCATTCTTTAAAACTGTACGTCTGACCCAAAAGAGCTCACACGTTCAGGCCTCCGCGTGGTTTTAAGCGCCTAGTGCCTGGTAGAACTGAAAAGTTCTTTAGTTTGCTGTGCCCGTTGCTGTGAATGGCTTTGCTACATGTGCTGCAATAAAGTTCGAAGCTGCAAGAGACTGAGCAAGATTGCCAACATCCCATGTCAAACTGCTACTTGTATCAGATCTGTCTGCCTGCTGCAAACGACAGAGGAAAAGTAAACCAGCAAAGTGATACTCCTTGGCATGAGGCGCACCATCCGATAGGCTATCTGGCCATGGCACAGACCAGGAGATGTCGTTCGTAGCTCCATGACAATGAGATTCAGGTTTCAAGAGCTGGTGTTGCAGACTGGCCCGGGCTTTGGTCGCGCTCCTGTCTAACCTCGTCGCTGTTTTTGGAGAGCATGGTTCCGATTCGCTTCAATGCAGATCTGCAAAAGCGCCACATCACGTCAACGAAGGGGGTAGTACGCCTACTGCTTGCACCGGCAGTGGCACATTACCCACTTCTGTGCTGACAATAAGCTGGTCGGCTTGATCGTCCAAGGATTTTGCTGTGAAACGCACCTCATGACTCATCTCGATCATTGAAGGAGTGCCACGGGCTCGCTTTGAAAAACATCACAAACAATCTTCCTGGTGCCAGCAAGGGACCACCAAGAAAGCCGCCAGGCCAGGAGGAATGCTACCTACTGCTGCGCCGAGCTGTCTTCTCGTGGCTGCATCAAATCGGATGGGGTCGCTGGAGAATGCCCGATTTGTGCAGGGCATCACTCCTCAATTGGATTCTTGGATTCACGAACGAACATGACTTGACCAGGATGCACAGCTCAGGAACATTCACACACCATGGCTCGGATTGTAGATTTCAGCCATTTCAGCTAGCCATCAAGCCATCAAGCCATCAAACGTATTAGGTCGAGCGTCGTGGGCAGAGCGGCTTTGAGGACCTCCATG